CTGGGCCCGTCTCCACACTCAGACTGGGTCCACTCAGACGGTACCGGCACATCAGCTTTCTCTGACCGGGGCTGGTGGTTTAATCTGGTGGAAGCATGCTAACTTTTTTATTTGTTGTACTTTAGTTTGCCAATTGAGTTTATATTTCTAATCTTCTCTATTTCTTTAGTCTTTATATGTTGGGACTGCGTTTGTGAATTTAGTTGGAGTTTTTCCCACCAGGCGCTCTCTCTCTCTCTTTCTCTAGATTATGCCCTCTCTTTCAGGCCTAAACTAGAGATATCCCCATGAAGAAAAATACTATAGTGATTTATGGTAAATACTATAGTGTTTTTAAACCATACTAGTGTATTCCAATGTCTATATTATAGTATTTACAACTCTTAAATCCTGTAGAGACCTACAGTGAACTGCTATACTAAATACTGTAGTATACTTTAGATTTTACTAGTAAACTGTAGTGTATTGTAGTAGGCTTTAATATACCATACAGTTTAAGAAAACTACAGTATTTGGTCATCTGTTTAAGTTCCTACAGTTGTTTTACAATAACATACTGTGTTACAATACAATTACCTTTACTATAGTGTGGCTCAAAAACACTACAATATTTGCTAAATGTTACCACAGTACAACTTACATAAAAATACTATAGTAATTTATAGTAAATACTACAGTGTTTCTTAACCATACTAGAGTAAAATGTAATATACTGTATGCATTATAGTATTTACAACTCTTTGTTGATGAATGCTACAGCATATGGTAGTGACCTACAGTGAACTGATAAACTGTAATACTGTAGTATACTTTAGATTTTACCACAGTAAACTCTGGTGGTTTTAAGTGTGCTATAATATGTTTTAGAAAACTACAGTATTTTGGTAATCTTTTTAAGTTCCTATAGTTGTTTTACAAAAGGAGTTGTACAATTACATTCATTACAGCACTTTAGGTGTGGTCCACAATACTATAGTAATTACAGTAAGTTACTACAGTACATTTTCATGTGGGTATTTTTTTCTGACTGTATCTTTGATATCTTTTAAACCTGTGCATTGATTCAAACTTCAACAATACTGTAATAATTTATAGTATATACTACAGTGTTTCTTAACCACTATAAAGTGTATTATACTGTGTATATTATAGTATTTATACCTCTTTGCTAATAAATGCTAATAGAATACTGTAGTGAACTGTTAAACTGTAATAAATACTGTAGTATACTTTAGTTTTTAATACAGTAAACTGTGTTGTATTGTAGTTCAATATACCCTACAGTTTTAGAAAACTGGCTGACCTGTTCATGCTCCTATAGTTGTTGTTTTACTTTACTTTTTACTTTTACTTTACTTTCTACTCCTGTAGTTGTTGTTTTGTTTATATATATATGTATGTTTATATATATATATATAAATGCTAGAATAAAAGCAGTTTTAAATTTATAAACACCATTTTAAGGTCAATATTATTAGCCACTTTAGGCTATATTTTTCCGATATTCTACAGAACAAACCATCATTATACAATAACTTGTCTAATTACCCTAACCTGCCTAGTTAACCTAATTAACCTAGTTAAGCTTTTAAATGTCACTTTAAGCTGTATAAAGTGTTGAAAAAATATTAATCATAATAGTTTTAATAACTCATTTCTAATAACTGATTTAATTTCTCTTTGCCATGATGACAGTAAATAATATTTGACTAGATGTTTTTCAAGACACTTCTATACAGCTTAAAGTGACATTTGAAGCCTTAACTAGGTTAATTAGGGTAACTAGGCAGGTTAAGGTTAAGCAAGTTATTGTATAAAAATGGTTTGTTCTGTTGGAAAAAAATAATAAATGTCCCTAAAATGGTGTTTAAAAAAAATTAAAACTGCTTTTATTGTAGTCGAAACAAAACAAATAAGACTTTCTCCAGAATAAAACATATTATCAGACATTCTGTGAAAAAAAATCCTTGCTCTGTTAAACATCATTAGGGAAATATTTGAAAAAGAGGGGAAAAGAAATCAAAGGGGGCGAATAATTCTGAATTCAACTGTATATTATCTATGAAAAATAATAAAGTTGTCAGAATGATTAGCATATAATCTTACCTTAACAAAATTACACCCTTTACCACATTAACGTTTCTGCCGTCTAACTTAGAGGTGAACTATAAAATTGTTAAATGACATATACGGATGACATGTGGCTGGTTTTAGCTGGTTGACCAGCCTAGTTTTAGAGGGGTTTTGGCCATTTCCAGGCTGGTTCCAGCCAGCAAGCCTGCGCTTAGCTGGACAAACAGAAAAAATGATCATCTAAAACCAGCTTAAACTGCCTGGCTTAGGCTGAACATAGCTGGTTTGGGCTGGTCTCCCAGCCTGGCTAGGCGGGTCAAACTGGTTTTAGCTGGTCATCTCCCAGCCTGCCCAGCTAAACCAGGCTGGAATTTGTTGGAATCAGGCTGGAAATGTCCAAAACCCTTCTAAAACCAGGCTAGTCGAGCAGCTAAAACCAGCCAACCAGCATTAACATTAGCAGCTTCCGTTTATGCATATACGGAAATTAACCGTTTATTTAGTTACTTGAAAACAACTGTAACTTAGTTCCTAACCGTTGACTATAACCAAGGCAAATTTTGATCCTCAGTAATACATCAACATACCATATTGGATCGACTCACGTTGGCTAAAGCTTAAATCCGCAAACACTTATTTTCTAACAGGGAAATGAAGGTGAAATCGTTACCTGATTTAGAGCGTTAATAAGCTGGCTGTAATTCTCTTTGCCAGTCCAACATCTCCCAGGACATCAGTGAGCCAGATAAAGTTTGAGAAGCGTTTTTCTTGTGCAGTGGAGTTGCAGCGCCATCTTATGGTAAATATTTGAACTGCATTTTGAGTGGCATTAAAAAAGTAAATTAAATTTAGGCAGCGTTGTTTTTCTAAGTTGAATTAAAAAGATAATAATTTATTATAAAATAATTTAATATAATATTAAATTCGTTGTACATTATGTATCATCCTTTATATACATACATACATACATATATATTCCACATACACACACACACACACACACACACACACACACACACATATATATATATATATATATATATATATATATATATATATATATATATATATATATATATATATATATATATATATATATATATATATATATAAACCACATTATTGTTTGAATAAACTTAAATGAAAACTACAACCAGCATAAAATAAGCTAGCGCTCTATAACCAGGCCTGGACAGTTCTGTTTATGTATTTATATTTTGAGTTATAAAGCCAGAGTTAAGCCCTTTTTTGCCTGGTAAGAAAAAAAAAGTAATGCCTTAGAAAACCAAAATTATCAGATAAAAATTAATTATGAACTCTATGACTTACTTAATCAAAATTATGACTTAATAAACCAAAATTATACAGTTATCTCATAATTTCAGCATTTTAAGGCATGTTTTTAAAAAATCCTTTTAGAAATTGATTTAATATATAGTCTAACCCCTACAATGTTTATATAGAAGATTATCCACTTTTGTTTTCACTGGTGATTCTATAAAACAAATCTCTTATATATTATTCTTTCCTTTGCTTTGTTGTTTCTCAAATAATCATATTAAAATTAGCTTGATTTAATTATATCAAATGTAAACTAATTGTAAAAATTGATATAAATAACATTATTGTCCTTTGCTTTTTTAATTTTTAAAAATAAAATAATAATATTAAAATAAGCCTGATGTAATTATAATAAATGCAAATTAATCAAAAATTATAATAAAGACATTATTGTCCTTTGCCTTGTTGTTTCTCAAACTAATAATATTAAAATGAGCTTGATATAATTTTAATAAATGTAAATTAATGTAAAAAATTATATAAATTACATTATTGTCCTTTGCTTTGACATAATTATAATAAATGTAAATGAATTAAAAAAATTATATAAATGTCATTATTGTCCTTTGCTTTATTGATTCTCTAAATTATAATATTAAAATGAGCTTGATAATGTAAATTAATAAAAAAAAAAACATATATATATATATATATATATATATATATATATGGCATTGTTGCTTTATTGACTCAAAAATAATAATAATAAAATAAGCTTGATATAATTATAATACATTTAAATTAATTAAAAATTATACAAATGACAATATTGTCCTTTGCTTTGTAGTTTCTCAAACTAATAATATTAAAATAAGCTAATACATGTAAATGAGTGAAAAAAATATATAAATTACATTGTTGTCTTTTGTTTTATTGACTCTCTAAATAATAATATTAAAATGAGCTTGATATAATTATAATAAATGTAAATTAATTTAAAAAATAATATAAATGACATTATTGTCCTTCGCTTTATTAATTCTCAAACTAATAGTATTAAAATGAGCTTGATATCATTTTAATAAATGTAAATTAATGTAAAAAGTTATATAAATTACATTATTGTCCTTTGCTTTATTGATTCTTAAAATAATAATATTAAAATGAGCTTGACATAATTATAATAAATGTAAATTAATTGTAAGAAATTATATAAATGACATTATTGTCCTTTGATTTAATAATTATCTAAATAATAATACTAAAATGAGCTTTATATAATTATGATAAGTGTTCATAGATTAGTTACAAATGATTTAAATGACAAATGAGCTTTATATAATTATAATAAGTGTTCATAAAGTAGTTACAAATGATTTAAATGACATTATTGTAAACGTACATACTCCACAGCAGCAGGTGGCGGTGATCTGCGGAATCTGGATAGACTGGAGGCTTGTGTGTCAACGTTAGCGTCTCCGCAGACAGCGGGACAGTATGGCATCAGTGGTGTTCAGACATTGCTCAAATGTTCTTAAAATAAGCCTCCGGAAATCCACAGCTCTCCCGCACATTTTAACGGGTAAGCAGAGTCTTTACACAACGCGATTATGCAAGGGATGCAGGGGGCGTCATTCTGGAGGAGTGGCTAATCAAACACCATGGAGGTTTCACTAGCATTGTAACATAAAGCTCATGCGTTGATGTAATTTGTCGTTTTTTAGTTAGAAATTTAAGCTTAAACTCTGAATAGAGAGAAAATAGTAACAAAAAGAGGAAAATACAATAACCTGCAGTAATATTAGGAATAACCTGCAATGGATATGGCTGACACACCAGAGGAGAAATCGTTTGTTTTGGATCTCTTATCTAAACGACATCAGCTACAACTGTCAGGTTAAATTGTTTTTATTAACAACATTAATGATGATAATAATAGTATAGCAGTGGTTTTGTAAATTGACCTGAAGGTGGTTTTATATTAAATGAAAGCACGTTTTATGCAGCGGCTGCCTTTACAGCTGCAACCCATCACTGGGAAACATCCATACACTCTAATTCGCACACATACATTATGGTTAATTTTAGCATACCCAATTCACCTACAGCACATGTCGTTGGAGTTGGGGAAACTGGGGCACGCAGAGGAAACCCACACCAACACAGAAATGCCAACTGACCCAGTCGAGGCTCGAACCAGCGACCTTCTTGCTGTGAGGTGATTGTGCTATCCACTGCGCCACCATGCAGCCCCACCCACAAGAAAGTTGGCTATAGAAATGAGTAGTTCAATAGTTCACACTTAGCTGATGATTTGTAAAAGCTTGTTTGGCATGCTTTCCCTGGAGAGAGCCCCGAGCTTAAGGACTCCTCGAGCCCAGGGCTTCCTCCCGTTTGGCAGAGCGAGAGGGGAGCCTGAGCTCGGTGGATCTCAGAAATCCCCTGCTGCGGTAGCTAAGGGAACAGGAGGGGTTAGATAAATGCTTGGTTGTTATGTATGTTGAATGTCTTTGGATCGTGGGAGGAACCCGGGGAAAACCCACGCGGACACGGGGAGAACATACAAACTCCTCACAGAAACACCCACCGGTCCTGTGGGGCCAGGGCCGGCAGTGCTCTTGCTGTGGGGCTCGCAGTGCTAACCACTGGGCCGCCGTGTCGCCCGATCAGAGGTAAAGGAGGAGAAAAGGGGAGGAAGGGGGGTTTCTTCCAAACGAAGATAAAGTGAACTGAAAACTTTGGTTATTTATAGTAGCTTAGGGCTCGTATGATTGGAAGATATTGATAGCAAATGCGAGACCGGCCGTGATAAATCATAAGCACGTGGTCCTCTCGAAATTAGTTTATGAATAAACTTCACTTGATTAATGTTTAGTGATCAGTTTAAACTTTAAGGATTTAAAATAAAATAAAAAACAGTTGTTCTCTGTATGTGTTGGCATTTTGTTTTGTTTTTTTCAATCAGAAAAATCTGAAAAATTTTTATTTATTAATTTTTATTATATTATTTAACATTTGTTTGCATGTGCTACACTCATGTAGTCCTAAATTTGAGAAGTTTGGAGTATCAGCTCATGTTAAGTCAATTTCGGGCCCTGACATTAAAAAAAAAAAAAGATAGGAAAGTAGGTTGGCCATAAAAAAAAAGAGCAGTTAATTAATAACGTTTAGTGATCGGTTCAAACTTTAAGGTATTTAGAATAAAACGTTACGGTTTTAAAATAAAAACAGTAGTTCTCTGTATGTGTTGGCCTGTTTTCATTCAGCAAATCAGATAATTTTATATTTATGTATTTTTTTTTATATTATTGAACACTTGTATGCATTTGCTACACTTGAAGTAGCAGTTCATGTTTGGTCAATTTTGAGCCCTGACATTAAAAAAAATAATAGAAAAGTAAGTTGGCCATAGAAATGAATAGTTAATTAATACCGTTTAGTGATCGTTTCAAACTTTATGGTTTTAAAATGAAAACAGTTTTCTGTATGTGTTGGCCTTTTGTTTTTTTTTTCATTCAGAATAATCTGAAAATGTTATATTTATACGTGTCGGCTTTTATATCACCTATTGACCTCCAAATATAAACATTCATTCATTCATTTTCTTGTCGGCTTAGTCCCTTTATTAATCCTGGGTCGCCACAGCGGAATGAACCGCCAACTTATCCAGCAAGTTTTTACACAGCGGATGCCCTTCCAGCAGCAACCCATCTCTAGGAAACGTCCATACACACATTCACACACGCACTCATACACTACGGACAATTTTGCCTACCCAATTCACCTGTGCCCCATGTCTTTGGACTGTGGGGGAAACCAGTGCACCCGGAGAAAACCCACGCGAACGCAGGGAGAACATGCAAACTCCACACAGAAACGCCAACTGAGCCTAAATATAAACAATTATCAGTATTGGATGACATTTCCATATTGGTGCATTTTTAATTCTGAATGTACTGTGTGGGTAAATAATATCAGTAACATTTTACCTTGCAGGTTCTGCCTAAATGTCCACTACTTAATCTAACAAGCACCTATCATTCATTCATTTTACTTCGGCTTTGTCCTTTTATTCATGAGGGGTCACCACAGCGGTATGAAACGGCAAATTATCCAGCATATGTTTTTTACCTTCCAGCTGCAACCCAGCATTGGGAAACACCCATACACTCACATGCACACACATACACTATGGCCAATTTAGCATACCCAATTCACCCATAGCGCATGTGTTTGGACTGTGGGGGAAACCTGAGCACTAGGTGGAAACTAAGGGGAGAACATGCAAACTCCACATAGAAAAGACAACTGACCCAGCCCGGACTCGAACCAGCGATCTCTTGCTGTGAGCCACCGTGCCACCCATCACAGACTATAAAAAGACTTTCATTAAACCATTTTTCCCTGTGTGTTTCAGGTGTTCGGCACAAGACCACAATTCAGTATGCAACACGAGCCGATCTGCCAAAGCTGGCCTACAGAAAGCTGAAAGGGAAGAGTCCTGGTGTGGTTTTCTTGCCCGGTTTCGCCTCACACATGGGTGGACAGAAAGCAGAAGCATTAGAGGAGTTCTGCAAGTCTTTAGGGCACTCGTGCCTGAGGTAATCACTAGAGGCGCTAAAAGCCTTGTAGTTCTTTTAACTTTGTGCACAAAGTCTTTTTCCAGTACTTTCAGTCTCTCTGTTCCTATATGGTGAAATGATCTGCCAACCTCCAGCTGAACTGCTGAGACCACCACATCTTTTACAAAGCAAATCCAAGAAGAAGCGCCACTTCCACAAGCATTTAATGGGATTGTTCACCCAAAAATTACAATTTTCCTCATCATTTGTTTTTCCTCATGTGGTTTCTTTCTTCTGTTAAACACAAAAGAAGATTTTTGGAAACATGCTGCTTGCTGGCATCCATTGACTTCCATCGTTTGGAAAAAAGTTTATGTGATAGTCAGTAGCTATGATTTCATCCAAAGATGCAAATTAGATTTGAATACTAGCATATCTGTTTTTATTAAATTAATTGTAAGATGTTTCCGGCCTTACCCGCATTCATCTTGTCTCAGGCATTAGGTTCCATGGGTCTCTAGCAATGACTGTAAAAAATATGGACGACGCGACAGCCCCTTTTCCCATTGAATGCCTTGAGGGCAAAACGCCTACTTGACAGGCACAAACTGTCGCAAAAGACTGCTGAAATTGGAGCCTTGACATGCGCAGAAGCACTGTCTGATGGAGCCAGAGGAGGAGCCGCGAAAATGAGCGGAGTCGAGCTTCCAACCAAACGCTTTATGTAAAATCAACCACGCCCCCCGAACTTCTCAGCATGCGTTTGCTGTCATATCAACACAAATGGATGTAATAACGTTAACAAATATGAGGGTTTTATATATTCAATCGCGCCAGCTCTGGGCCATAGCGCATAACCTACTTGCGGCGTCGCGGGCTGATTCCGGCTCGCATGCGGCAGCGCCGGCTCGCTCGGCCGCCGCATCTGGCTCGATTGACTCGGGCTGGAATCGGGCAGTGAGTCCAGGAATCCGGAGTAGGTCCAGCAGAGGTAGTCAGTCTGAGCTCTGAGGCATAAGTCTCCGGCAGGCGAGAATCTAGCCGGAACTGGCCCTAGTGTATTTTGCTATCTGGGTGGCTAGGCGTTTATCAGCAAACTAATAAAGCCTGAAAAAAGCCCTGAACTTAGCGAATTAACAGTGTTCCACCAGGATCATGTATGTCAGAAACTATAGTTTACTGCTGAACTCATTTTGTCATGGTATAATAACACAGAAATCGAATAATAACACTTCAGTCTCCTGCCGAAGCTCAGACGCGCTGCTTTGAGAAACTGTCAATCACAGCTGTCAATCACGATGACACGCCCAGCATTAAATTACTGCTAAAAACAAACTGTTTACAAAAATGAAGATCTGCACCTATTTCAGCACAATAACCAGTGCCTTAATCGACCAGAACCTTCTTTCGGGACATTTTATTGCAAGTGTAATACATTTTTTTATTTGGGCTCAAGTCTCCTTCATTAACACGAAGGAGCTTTATGACTTGTACTGCAGCCAGCTCCCAGGGGGCGATCTGACGGCCGAGACCTTCACTCAAACGCAGGCTTGCGGCACACTTGCTCTCTAGATTGTCCCTCCTTGACATTATTGTAACTCTTCACATTTCGGCGATTTCACTTTCTTTAGGTTTGACTATTCTGGCTGTGGATCATCTGAGGGCGAATTGACGAACTACACTATTGGAGCCTGGAAGAAGGATGTGCTCTATGTGCTGGATGAGCTAGTAGAAGGCCCACAGGTTAGTGGATTACTGGAATAACAGCACTGGAGAGTCTTGAATTTTACTCCAATTTGCGTATTTACATTTTAGTGACAAATAATGAATTCAATTTATTCACAAGCATATGCTTAATTACTTGAAATAAAAACAAAAAAACGAAAATAGATGCCTTACCGAAGGGATGCGCTTCTGCATATTTCCTATTGATCATACTTAAAGGGTTAGTTCACCCAAAAACGGCAATTTTGTTATTAATTACTCACTCTCAATTTGTTTAAATGCCCTAAAATCTTTATTCATCTCTGAGCACAAATTAAGATATTTTAGATGAAATCCTGGAGCTCTCCATCTTCCATAGACAGTAAGGGTCTCATGATGTTAAGTGCCCAGAAAGCTAAAAACATAGTCAAATAAAAAGCAGCAAATAGGAACATTATGATAAAACAATGTGCCCGGTGCATGTTAAAGGCACACCAGATATGATTTTCTCCTTAAAATACCCAAAGACTACTAGAATAGTGGGAAACACTTTAGTTTAGTTCACAATTCATGCTATTAACTACTAGCTTATTACCTGCCTATTATTCATATATATATATATATATATATATATATATATATATATATATATATATATATATATCATTAGTAATTATTCATTCATTCATTTTCTATTCGGCTTAGTCCCTTTATTAATCTGGGGACACCAAAGCAGAATAAACCGCCAACTTATCCAGCATTTTTGTTTTTTACGCAGCGTATACCTTTCCAGCTGCAACCCATCACTGGGAAACACCCATACACACTCATTCACACACATACATACACTATGGACAATTTAGCTTACTCGATTCACCTGTACCACATGTCTTTGGACTGTAGGAGCAACCGGAGCACCCAGAAAAAACCCACGCAAACGCAGGGAGAACATGCAAACTCCACACAGAAACGGCAACTGACCTAGCCAAGGCTTGAACCAGCGACCTTCTTGCTGTGATGCGACAGCACTACCTACTGCACCACTGCGTCGCCATTAGTAGTTATAAAGTATAATTTTATTCTGCATCCCTGATCCTAGCAATAACCTAAACCCAACTTCCACCTTACTAACTATTAATAAACAGCTAATTAGTAGTTTATTAAGCTATTAGTGTTAGGTAAATGTTACATAAGCAATGTTTTTGCATTGATTTTAAAAACTGCTGCACATCTATTGATTTTTTTTTTCATGTGATGCCCTAAAACGTGTGTAAAAATGCTGAAACAGCAGATATTGGTTACACTCAGCTATTAGTGATTAGGGGAATGTCTAAAAGGGGATAGAAGGTTACATGTTTGCTTTTATTTCAGGCCAGCTGTCTATAACACAGGTGTGATATGGTTGGTATCCCATGTTCACATGCCTCTGTGCTCTATAAAAAGGGTTGTGACAAGTGTTTGGTGGAGGACGTGTGTGTGTGTGTGTGTGTGTGTGTGTGTGTGTGTGTGTGTGTGTGTGTGTGTGTGTGTGTGTGTGTGTGTGTGTGTGTGTATGTGTTTTTGTGACATATCAGGACACATATCTGTATAATGACATAAGTATGACACAGGTATTACAAAAAGCAGGTGAAATATGAGGACAGTGGTGACGTCCTCATTTCTCGAAAAGCTTATCAATCCTACAGGATGAGTTTAATCAGAGAGTAAAGCTGCACATAGTCTCCTGTGATGGTTGGGTTTAGGGTGGGGTGAGGGCAATATAATATACCGTTTGGACCGTCTAAAATTATTGGAAACCTATGTAATGTCCCACTTTACACAAAAACAAACGTGTGTGTGTGCGTATGTTTATTTATTGATGGACTTCTCTTCGCTGCTCCAGATTCTGGTGGGCTCCAGCATGGGTGGGTGGTTGATGCTGCTGGCTGCTCTTGCACGTCCTGAGAAAACAGCTGCTTTAGTGGGCATCTCAACAGCTGCGGATCACTTCGTCACAGCCTTCAACGCACTACCTATAGAGGTACGAAAGCCTTCAAAGTCAGATCAAATGATTAAAGCAAGTCCGTTTGTTGGGGTTTTAATACAAACTGTGTATATTGTAAGTATAACAAATTACTCTTACTGTCGCTCATACTTTTACACTTGTGGAATTTACATGAGAACTAGAAAACAATGTTTGAGGCTCATGACATATATACTGGTGTCTTATTATTCGATTATCCTTATGTATACCTAAATTATCTTTATAGGACACCTTTATATTTTTAATGAGATGCTAATGGTCTAATCCGATTCAATGATTTATACTAAGCTTAGCTAAAAGTGCTCCCACCAGACCTGGAGATTAAGATTGGATCGGGATGGAGTAAGAAATGGTAAACCTTGACTGTTTAACTCTAGGGGAGTTGTAAAATGAGTCTATATTAATATACTATGTGTATTCTGTAAACTTGAAATGCCTAATTAACTCACAAATGTGACGTTTTTTTCTCATGATTTTGCTTGTAACCCACAACTGCGACTTCATTAATCACAATTAAAACTTTTAATCTCAGAATTGAGTTTTTATTTTGCAATTCTGAATATAACTCAATAACTCAGGTTTTCAAGTCTACATCTCACAATTCTGTGGGAAAAAAGACAGAAAAAACACGACATGAAAAATCAGCAATAACAAAAATAGCAATGTTTTGAAAACTGGATTATTTAAAATTTTATGTGTATTATTATGTGTAAATTAAAATGCCTAAATAGCTCACAATTGCCACTTTTTAATTTCATAATTCTGCCTGTAACCTGCAATTGCGACTTTTTTTTTATCTCAGAATTTCACAATTCTCAGAACTCACAATTAAGACTTTTTATCTCAGAATTGAGTTTATATTTTTGCCTTTTTATTCTGACTTTTTTTATCTCATAAATATCCATGTTACCCACAATTGTGTTTTTATTTCCAAATTGTGACTTAATGACTCAAAATTGCAACTTTTTTTAGCTCACAATTATCCCTGTGACTTCAGAACTCACAATTAAGACTTATCTCAGAATTGAGTTTATATTTTGCATTTCTGACTTTAAAACTCGCATTTTCAAGTCTATATCTCACAATTCTGAGAAAAAAAGGCAGAATTATGAGATTAAAAAGTCAATTCAATATTCAAGTTCAATATTATGTGTATTATTATATGGATCCTGAATGCTTGAAATGCCTAATTAACTCACAATTAAGACTTTTTAATCTCGTAATTCTGCCTGTAACCTGCAATTGCAACTTTTTATCACAGAATTTTAACTTTATAACTCAGACTTGCAATGCTTTTTTAGCTCATAATTATCCCTGTAACCTGCAATTGTGACTTTTTACCTCAAAATTTTGACTTCATATCTCACAATTAAGAGTTTTCATCTCAGAATTAAGTTTATATTTCGCAACTCTGACTTCATAACTCACATTTTCAAGTCTACATCTCAAAATTCTAAGGAAAAAACCCAGAATTACGAGATTTAAAAATAATAGCAATAAATAAAAATAGCAGCTTCTTTATACTGGATTTGAACACTGAATTATTTCCAATATATTCTTCTTAGACAAAGAAGGAGATAGAGGAACAGGGCTTCTGGAAGTTCCCCACTAAGCACAATGAAGAAGGTTTCTACACCCTGAGCCTGGACTTTCTGAAGGAGGCGGAAAACCATTGCATCCTCCACAGCCCTATCCCCGTCTCCTGTCCTGTACGGCTGGTTCACGGCCTCAAAGACTCAGATGTGCCCTGGCATGTGTCCATGCAGGTGGCAGAACGGGTACTCAGCAATGATGTGGATGTCGTTCTGCGCAAACATGGCCAGCATCGCATGTCTGAGAAAGAAGACATCAAGCTCATGGTGTACACTATTGATGACCTTATCGATAAATTGACTACACTGGGCTGAGAGCGGTATAACAGACACACCGTGATTAAGAGAGAACAGCATATACAGGTATCGGGTTTCTGGGAAATATGGTTTGGAGGTAGGTGGTGAAGTGAAAGAAGCCAAATCAGTTGACAGGGAAATCAACCAAAAGTGAAACCTTTTTTATTTCATCCTAGAGCCATATTATTATTTGTTGTTTTGTTATGGAACACTAGTTCAGTGACCAGATGCTGACATTTTCCAGAAGTTTATTTGACTTGTCAACTATTCCTTACATAGTCTTTTCAAGCCATATGAAAACTTTGTATACTGTAAAAAGTGATTAGTTGACTAATTTAAAAAAGTGAGCAAACTGTTGCTTTTAAAGTGATTAGTTGACTTAAGTGAGTAAACTGCTTGCTTTTAATTTAAAAGCTACAGGTTTACTCACTTAAGTCAACTAATCACTTTAAAAGCAAAGGGTTTACTCACTTTAGTAAAGTTGACTAATTGCTTTAAAAGCAGCAGGTTTTACTTTACTAAAGTGAGTACTTTACTTTTAGTTGACTTTACCCAAGTGAGTAAACCTGTTGCTTTTAAAGTGATTAGTTTACTTAACTTAAAACGTGAGCTAGCCTGTTGCTTTTAAAGCGATTAGTTGACTTTACTTAAGTGAGTAAACCTGTTGCTTTTAAAGTGATTAGTTGACTTTACTTAAGTGAGTAAACCTGTTGCTTTAAAAGTGATTAGTTGACTTAACTTAAGTGAGTAAACCTGTTGCTTTTAAAGCGATTAGTTGACTTTACTTAAGTGAGTAAACCTGTTGCTTTTAAAGCGATTAGTTGACTTTACTTAAGTGAGAAAACCTGTTGCTTTTAAAGCGATTAGTTGACTTTACTTAAGTGAGTAAACCTGTTGCTTTTAAAGCGATTAGTTGACTTTACTTAAGTGAGTAAACCTGTTGCTTTAAAAGTGATTAGTTGACTTTACTTAAGTGAGTAAACCTGTTGCTTTAAAAGTGATTAGTTGACTTTACTTAAGTGAGTAAACCTGTTGCTTTAAAAGTGATTAGTTGACTTTACTTAAGTGAGTAAACCTGTTGCTTTTAAAGCGATTGGTTGACTTGACTTAAAATAAGTGAGTAAACCTGTTGCTTTTAAAGCGATTAGTTGACTTAAGTGAGTAAACCTGTTGCTTTTAAAGCGATTTGTTGACTTTACCTAAGTAAGTAAACCTGTTGCTTTTAAAGCGATTTGTTGACTTTACCTAAGTGAGTAAACCTGTTGCTTTTAAAGCGATTAGTTGACTTAAGGGAGTAAACCTGTTGCTTTTAAAGCGATTAGTTGACTTTACTTAAGTGAGTAAACCTGTTGCTTTTAAAGCAATTAGTTGACTTAACTTAAAACATGAGTTAGCCTGTTGCTTTTAAAGCGATTAGATTACTTAACCTAAAACGTGAGTTAGCCTGTTGCTTTTAAAGCGATTAGATTACTTAACCTAAAACGTGAGTTAGCCTGTTGTTTTTAAAGTGATTAGTTGACTTAACTTAAAACGTGAGTTAGCCTGTTGTTTTTAAAGTGATTAGTTGACTAGTTGTTTTCAAGGCAGCAGGTTTCCTCGCTATTTTTAACTAAAGTAACTTATCGCTTTTTACACTGTATAAGGGACAGGCCAAAATTGTAATCGCTGTTCCCTAAAATCCTTCTCTGTCACCAAGCAGCCAACACTTCATAACCTGATGCAATGTGCCAAGTCAGAACATGCACAAGCACTGAGGAGCTTTGACGGGCCAAGAACTGACGATTATAAATACACTTCAGGAGCACTTTACTATAAGGTCTCAATTGCTAATGCTAATTAATGCATTAGTTAATTAAAAAAAATACAACAGATACAACTTTCAGTCTTACAAATCTATCAGTAAAAGTGCAGATTAAAGGGCCAGTTCACCCTAAAATGAAACTTTACAGTTAATTTACTGACATAGATGATCGATTCTGTTTCATAAGTGTATAGCCAAAGGGATTGATTTCTACTTGCTTGTATATGTTTATTTTTCATTTTAAAAACCGGGCAACTATAGACTTAATAAGAATCACCACAGATTCATCTAAAAACCTTCTTTAATGTTCCAGTGAGCCAAATACTATCCGTCTAACTTAATTGCGGTAGATGTATTGGTCATGTTAACTAATGCTAGCAAACGGGACCTTATTGTGAAGTGTTGCTCTAAAATTTCAAAATAAAAGTTATAAACCTTTGTTATGCATCCAAACTATGCATGTCTTGCATTGATTCTTAGCACTGGCTCCTATTATGCAATGATCATTCTTAATATTCAATTACATGTAGGGCCTTATTTTGTCCCCAAAGTTTTGTACTTAGTCTTATTTTCCATTGATTGAGGGTTTGACTGTGTTAAACAGTAGTTTTTTAGTGTCTCTATATTATTTAATCCCTTCCAGGAGAAACTTACCTCTGATTTTATTTATCACTGATTTCTAGTCTTTTTAACGATGGTAGGAGTTTAAAAAGTATGTATATTCCCTAATATGTGGATTACTCTTCACATTTGAGCTCTCCATGTTGGGCAGATTTTATATTTATTATTTCGTTAATTGTCCCCTGGTGTGTTTTCTTTTTGTTTTAGCACCTGGTTTCTCCTCTTGACACATAGATAAATACTATATATATATTTTTTGATCTCTGTTTGAGTGTTTTTATACCACCAACTGTGCTTTTATATTTGTTTGTTGTCAGTATCCACCCACTGACGGTGATTTATGTCGTGACAAAAGTTGTCTTCCGCATAATTTGTAAGTTATTCCCACAGGGTGATTACAGCATGCATTGTTACACTTTTATTCTCTTGTCAGCGGTATGTATGTTTATATATTATTTATATCATTTATCATGCACATGTTGCTGTGCACCACATTTATGTTAGTTCATAATAGACATTTAAATATGTAAAAAATATATAAACGTATGGTCTGTTTGTCAGATATGTATAAATCTATGTAATAAAGAACTTTTTGTTTATTAAAGTGGACAGTAGGAAAAGGTAGGTTTGTGCTATTTGTTATTGTTTATTATCTGAGTGTTGTTGTTTTTGTTTTTTTGGCTACATATTTATTAGTGGATTCTGTGGTGGGGCAATGCTAAGGTAATGCTACGTTTTTAATCTCGTAATTCTGGCTTTTTTCCTCGTAATTCTGAGATGTAGACTTGAAAATGTGAGTTATAAACAGTGTTGCAGTTATAGCTGACTTTTTCCAGCCAAAAAGCTGTCCAAAACCTGCCAAACTATTAGATTAATTCATTCATGAAATTTCCTTCTGCTTAGCCACAGCGGAATGAACCGCCAACTTATTTAGCATATGTTTTACACAGCAGATGCCCTTCCAGCTGCAACCCAGTATTGGGAAGCACCTATACACTACAGACAATTTCATTCATTTATTTTCTTGTCGGCTTAGTCCCTTTATTATCCCGTGGTCGCCACAGCGGAATGAACTGCCAACTTATACACCAAGTTTTTACGCAGCGGATGACCTTCCAGCCGCAACCCATCTCTAGGAAACATCCACACACACATTCACACACACACTCATACACTACGGACAATTTAGCCTACCCAATTCACCTGTACCACATGTCTTTGGACTGTGGGGGAAACCGGAGCACCCGGAGGAAACCCACGCGAAGGCCAAACTGAGCCGAGGTTCGAACCAGCGACTTTCTTGCTGTGAGGCGACAGCACTACCTACTGCACCACTGCCTCGCCTACAGACAATTTAGCCTACCCAATTCAACTATAGCACATGTATCTGGACTTGTGGGGGAAACCTAAGTGAACACAGGGAGAACATGCAAACTCCACACAGAAACACCAACTGACCCAGCCGAGGCTCAAACCAGTGGCCTTATTGCTGTGAGGCGATTGCGCTACCCACTGCACCACCGTGCTGCCCCAACTTTACCTCAATCCATTTGGGAAAAGGCAGCAGGGCAAGAAATGTTTACATCTGAAGAGACTGACTGGCAACTGAACCCAGTAACTCTCTAAACCAACCGGGATAAAGAGCAGGTGAGCACAATCTATATCTGCAGTCCCAGACTGTATTAATTTTGTAAAATGTCTTGTGTCGATTAATATTTAACGCGAAAAGGAAACCATTTAAAACCCACATTACTGAGAGGGATATAAAGTGGTGGTTAGGCATTGAGTTGCTTCTGTGCCAATATTCTTACATTCAATCATTTTAGTTTCACGTCATGCAAAATTCAGTAAGAGGTTTTGATTATATAGTTTTTGTGGTGCTCATGAGTTGAACCAAACTCATTTTTGAAATCTCAAAGCACTATATTTCAAGACTTCACACTTAGATATTGTTTGACAACTTGTTAGCAGGTTTGGCATGCTGTCCCGGGAGAGAACCCTGAGCTCAGAGATAGTTGAGCCCAGGGCTCCCGCCTGGTCCATAGAGCATGTGAGGGGAGTACGAGATCAGGTGGTTCTCGAGAGTTCCCCTGATAAAGGAGGAGAAGGGGTGGATGGGGTGGATTTATCTAAAAACAAAGATAAGAGAGTAGTTCTTATAGTGAGTTTGGATCAATTTGATTGGCTAGCTAATTAATGTAGATGAGTGGCCAGCTGCAGTCAATCATATTGACGTCATATTGGTAACGTCCACTCAATGTCAAGCTGTAATATCATTAGATGTTGTTATTTGGTTGATTTTAGGTTGTTAGAAAGTTACCAAAATCCAACGTCGAGCCAACATCTTAAACTAAACTCATATTGACATTTATTGACGTCATATTGGTAACGTCCACTCAATGTCAAGCTGTAAAGTCATTAGACGTTGATATTTAGTTAATTTTAGGTTGTTAGAAAGTTACCAAAATCCAATGTCGAGCCTACATCTTAAACTAACGTCATATTGACATTTATTGCTGTCATATTGGTAACTTCCATTCAATGTCAAGCTGTAATGTCATTAGACGTTGATATTTGGTTGATTTTAGGTTGTTAGAAAGTTACCAATATCCAAAGTCGAGCCAACATCTTAAACTAACGTCATATTGACATTTATTGATGTCATATTGGTAACGTCCACTCAATGTCAAGCTGTAAAGTCATTAGACATTGATATTTGGTTGATTTTAGGTTGGACGTTGGACATTGATGTCATCCTGATGAACAAACAAAATGCAACGTCAACCCCAATGTTGGGATACAACATCAATCTGATGTCATGTTGACGTCTTGTGCCTGCTGGGTGTTTAAGGACATTTCGGTCATTATACAGTAAACATCCTTCATCTTCTCATCAGTGACATGCATCTAAACAGTCACAGGGTCAATGCATGTGAAGATTTTGGACATTTTTAATGCTTCCAAACAGTTGGCTGCAATTGTAAATCACCCATTTCTTGAGATTGTTCATTATGATGCGATTTACCTTCCATGTGTGATTTGATTGGACAGGAATCGCAGGACTGAATTTTCTAATCCCCATAGACAAGAAAGTGGTGACTGCAGGTTGAAGGAAAGTAGCAGAGTAAAAGTACCAATCTGCAATAAAAATGTACTCCAGGGAAAGTAAAAGTTCACATTTTTTAACTACTTCGTAATTTACAATTTCTGAGAAAAACCACTCAGTTACAGTAATTTGAGTATTTTTTTTGACTTACTTTACACCACTGTTTGCAAGATACTAGTGTTCAGTTTAAAGTGCAATTTAAAGGTTTAACTGGATGAACTAGGCAAATTCGGTTAATTAGGCAAGTCGTTGTTTGGTTGTGTAGCCAATCAAAAAAATGGCATGTAAAGCCATGATGGGTAAAGGTTTACAGGTTACTCTCCTACTCTTTATGAGAAGTGCCATGGGATTTTTAATGACCACAGCAAGACAGGACCTCGGTTTAACATCTCATCCAAAAGACGGTGCTCACTGACAGTATAGTCCCCTTCACTTTACTGGGGCATTACGCCCCATTCACATGAGGCTTCAGCGTCAACGCTTGACTGAAGGCGTGTCTGAAGTTGGGGCTGAACCAATCGTCATAGAAGCGTCAGCCAATGAAATTCAGTCTCCAATAGGCCACTGTCTGAGCTGGTGTGTTTGCATACAGCGATCTGATTGGCTGACGCTTCCGTCGGCGCTTGAAAAGTTCAGCTAGTCCCAACTTCTGCAGCGAGCAACGCTTCTGAATCAGCGCCGACAGATCCACAATGCAGTTCGGCAACGCCTGACATCACCCATTCAAAGTGAATGGGAAGCGTTGACGCTGACGCCCCGCGTGAATGGGGCGTTAGGACTCACACAGCGCCCCCTGTTGGCCTCACTAACACCACTTTTATATGCAACCTAGTTTTCCCATGTGGTCTCCCATCCAGGTACTGACTTAGCTTCAGTTTGGGCTGCAGGGTAATATGTCTGTCCATATTCAGTAACAGTACTGGAACATATCGTGTGGAGTATGTGTGTGTGGCAGGTAAATAAGTACTAGACTTATATAAGACCATTGCACATGGACATGCACTGAAAATAAAATTATTAGATTTACTACATTTTTTAAGGTGTAAGTTGTTGCAAACAATGTAAATGGGCTAGACAAACAAATGTTAATATACATTGTTTGCAACCACTCTCTGGCAGAGTGAGTATACCTCTTAAATCTAAACGATGAGACGGTGAAGTACAAAAGTACAATGCAATCAAACCGCAGTGAAATAAAGCTGTCTTCCCGCTCTACAGTGAGAACAGCAGACTCTATGTGGACTGGGAGAGCACAGCTGGATGCACACACAGGCCAACAGTGATTGATATGGACAAAACATCGACTTATTAAGTCAATGGACGCTGCTGATGCTGATGCAGTTCTGCTGATCTCAGGCTTGTAATCAGGCCAGAAGCCAAAGAGTTCTCTCTGTTAGATTGCAGGAACGCTTATAGTGTAAAGTGCTTATACAGTATATGGCCAATTAGACTAAGAAATCCTTTTTTTAAAAGTAAGGAATAGGAGTTTAACCATCTGGCTACTTTTTTTGTAAACACTTTGGCTTCTTAGAATATTTAATATTTTGTTGGTTTGAATGGTACAAGATAAATAGTTTAAATAGTTCTATATATACTGTATATACACTCATCGGCCACTTTATTAGGTACACCTTAGTAGTACAGGAATGGACTCCCTTTTGCCTTCAGAACTGCCTAGATCCTTCATGGCATAGATTCAACAAGCTACTGGAAATATTCCCCAGAGATTTTGCTCCATATTGACATGATAGCATCACGCAGTTGCTGCAGATTTTCCAGCTGCACATCCATGATGTGAATCTCCCGTTCCACCACATCCCAAAGGTGCTCTATTGGATTTAAATCTGGTGACTGTGGAGGCCATTTGAGTACAGTGAACTCATTGTCATGTTCAAGAAACCAGTCTGAGATGATAAACACTTTATGAAATGGTACGTTATCCTGCTGGAAGTAGCCATCAGAAGATGAGTACACTGTGGTCATAAAGGGATGAACATGGTCAGCAACAATACTCAGGTAGGCTGTGGCGTTGACATGATGCTCAATTGGTACTAATGGGCCGAAAGTATGCCAAGAAAATATCCCCCACACCATTACACTAGCACCACCAGCCTAAATCGTTAATACAAGGCAGGATGGATCCATGCTTTCATTTTGTAGATGCCAAATTCTGACCCGACCATCCGAATGTTGCAGCAGAAATCGAGACTCATCAGACCAATGTTTTTATAATCTTCTATTTTTCAATTTTGGTGAGCCTGTGTGAATAGTAGCCTCAGTTTCCTGTTCTTAGCTCACAGGAGTGGCACCCAGTGTGGTCTTGTGCTGCTGTAGCCCATCTGCCTCAAGGTTGGGCGTGTTGTGCGTTCAGAGATGCTCTTCTGCAGACCTCAGTTGTAACGAATGGTTATTTGAGTTACTGTTGCCTGTTACTGTTACGGCACCAACAACCATGCCACGTTCAATCACCTTAAATCATCCCCATTCTGATGTGTAAAAACTAGTGTTAACGGGTAGTTGGGCAGGTGTACCTAATAAAGTGGCTGGTGAGTATATATATATATATATATACTCAAAGCAAGAAGGTCATGGGTTTGAGTCCTAGCTGGCTCAGTTGTCATTTCTGTGTGGAGTTTGGGTGCTCAGGTTTCCCCCACAGTCCAAACACAGGTGATGTGAATAAATTAAATTGTCCGTAGTTTATGAGTGTGAATGAGAGTATATGGGTGTATCCCAGTACTGGGTTGCAGCTGTAAGGGCATCAACTGTGTAAAACATATCCTGGAATAGTTGGCAGCTCATTCTGCTGTGGCAAAAATAAAGGGACTAAGCTGAAGGAAAATGAATGAATGAATGAAAGTCAATATTATGAGCCCCCTTTATGAACTATACTTTGTTTTGACTGGCTAGAAGAAACCACTGTTTTGCAATGATTGGCTAATTAATCTAGCCAACCCTTTAACTGCACTTTAAGAATTATAAACTTTAAAATGTGTTGAAAACACATTTCTGTCTGTTAAAAAGAACACAGAATTATCATTAAAATAATCAAAGCTTTACAAGAGGGCTAATCATTTTGACATTCAAGCTGTATGACATGTTCCTGCTCAGTGCCTATATCCTATACCATTGCTGGATTCATTCAAAATTATTTAATAAATATTACTGAGGACAGCCATTCAAAAAGGTGCACAGATGTAAAGTATTTCTGCATCTTAAGACCTTACTGACAGTATCTAAAGATGGCATCATCATCGCCATCATTTCACGCGCCACTGACTGCCAGCGTGAAGCTGTGAGTGTGTGTGGGCGCGCGCGCGCTCATGGCCTATTTTTCACGTACGCGCACTGACGCTTTCGCTTGCACACAGGATTCTTCTGCTCGCCTTTTGGCTCTCTGATAACGTTAGATGCGTTTTACATACTGCAACATGCCATATTACGCAACACGCACAGTATAGCCAACCACCCCCCCTCTCCTCTTCTCTCCTCTCCTCTCCTCCACTCTCTCTCTCTCTCTCTCTCTCTCTCTCTCTCCATGCTCTCTGCTGCTGTGAATGACGGATGCTGAGTTGCGTTCCTCCCCCTGCTGCTCATGGTGCCAACAGACGGACATTACACGGCTGAGGACAACAACAAACAGCCTCCATCACCAGTGAGTAGAAGCTTAATGTGCGACTGCTAAATCACGCTATATTAAACCGAGGAAGCTGGTGATGCGCAGTTTAATTATTGAATGAGTTAGGCGACAATGTGTGGGACGTTCGTGATTTTATTGACATTCTTGCAGTTATTAATGATGCAAACGCGCTCGTTGTGGTCTGTATATCATCTCAAACATGAGTATAAATATGATGATATTTAGCATATGCTTTGGCTTATTTCGGAGAGAATAGACGTGAGTTGCATAGCAAGGACAAACATGTGCAGTTTTGGTTTGGCTATCCAAACCAAATTTGTGATCCTGGACCATAAAGCATTTTTGGGTGGGAAATTGACGTTTATAGATCAAAATAAAGCTGAATGTAAGCTGGATTGTTTGTACAAGCAAATATTTGACTGAGATACAGCTATTCTGGAATTTTGTGAACCATATAAAATCTGGTAACACTTTACAATAACAGTACATGAATAATGATGTGTTCATATGTTAACTAAACATGACTTTATTATTAACTAATGACGAGTTAATGCATGTGCTAATTATAAACTATAAATTATGATCTTTAACTACAAGTCAGATGAGTTCATATGTGAATAAAGGCTAGCTTGATTACAGCTTATTTCATGATTGTTTGTTAATTAGTGCATTAATTACTGCATAATTCATTCATTTTCTTTTCGGCTTAGTCCCTTTATTAATCCAGGGTCGCCACAGCAGAATGAACTGTCAACTTATCCAGCACATTTTTTATGCAGTGGATGTCCTTTCAGCTGCAACCAATCTCTGGGAAAAATCCATACACACTCATTTAAACTCATTCATTCATTCTCTTGTCGGCTTAGTCCCTTTATTAGTCCGGGGTCGCCACAGCGGAATGAACCGCCAACTTATCCAGCAAGTTTTTACGCAGCGGATGCCCTTCCAGCCGCAACCCATCTCTGGGAATCATCCACACACACATTCACACATACACACTACGGACAATTTAGCCTACCCAATTCACCTGTACCGCATGTCTTTGGACTGTGGGGGAAACCGGAGCACCCGGGGGAAACCCACGCGAAGGCAGGGAGAACATGCAAACTCCACACAGAACCGCCAACTGAGCCGAGGTTCGAACCAGCGACCCAGTGACCTTCTTACTGTGAGGCGACAGCACTACCTATGCGCCACTGCCCTTATGAGGCTATGCTACGTTAATTTTGAACGTTAGTTTTTTACTCAACTTCACAAGGCTAAAAGTGCAGTAGTTGAAGAATGGCCCAAATATATTTTAACAATATATTTTAACAAAAGGCAGGTAATAAGCCACTTGTTAATGGTGTGAATTGTTACTTAAGCTAAAGTGATACTCAGTGGTAAGCACTGTCACCCCACATCAAGAAGGTCACTGGTTCGAGTTCCAGCTGGGTCAGTTGGCATTTCTGTGTGGAGTTTGCATGTTCGTGTTGGCGTGGGTTGCTTTTGGGTGCTCCGGTTTCCCCCAGTCTGAAGACATAGGTGAACTGAGTAAACAGAATTGGCTGTAGTGTATGAGTGTGTGTGAATGTGAGAGTGTATGGGTGTTCCCAGTATAGGGTTGCAGCTGGCAGGGCATTTTTTATGTAAAACATTAGCCGGAATAGTCGGCGGTTCATTCCGCTGTGGCAACCCCTGATAAATTAGGAACTAAGCCGGAGAAAAAAGAATGAATGACGGATTTGTTTATTCAATCAGCTTTGTAGGCCTACTGCATAAATACATTGCACGAAGCTTTCTGTTCTGAAAGGATCCTTAAATGACTTCTGTTGTGATCCGGTGTTAGAAAATAAGATTACATTTCTTGATTTTCAAAGGGGGCGGGGACAATAAGAGCTGAAATCCTGCCTGTGTGTGTGTGTGTGTGTGTGTGTGTTTGAGATCATCAACAGTGTTGTTAAGGTCTGAGAGCTGCCATGGCAATGATATTATGCAGCCCCTGAAAATAGTCCCTATCTAGGTAACTCCGTAGCATTGTGCTGCTACTCCATGGTATGGCAGCTAATTCTTTTAGCCAGAATGAGAGTATAGTTATCTCCGTCAATCTTACTGCACGATGTAACTGCAGGAGAGTCAAGCCTTAAATAGGACAAATATCAAAACTCTTTTAGGATCCTTTTAAGTGAGATGCTAATGGTCTAATCCGATTCAATGATCTATGCTAAGCTAAAAGTGCTCCCGCCAGACCTGGAGATCGGTTGAATGGATTAAAAAGTGTTAAAACTCAGCTGTTTAACTCTAGGAGAGCTGAAAAATGAGCATATTTTCAAAAAGGTGTTCCTTTGAAAGACTTCTGGTGTGATCTGGTGCTTGAAAATAAGATTAAATAACTTGACTTGGAAACACTAAGCAGAAACTAATACTTTATTTAACGTAGTCTATCTATATATTTTAACGAATAGCTAAAAATCCAGCCTGTGTGTGTTTGAGATCATTGGCAGTGTTAATGTCTAAGAGCTGCCATGGCAATGATATTATGCAGCACCTGAAAATAGTCCCCAGCTCGGCAACACTGCTGCAGTCATGGTATGGCAGCTAATTATGTAGGCCAGAATAAGAGTATAGTTTCTAGAGAGTGTATGGGTATTTCCCAGTACTGTATTGCGGCTGGAAAGGCATTCGCTGTGCAAAGTTTATGCTGGAATAGTTGGCGGTTCATTCTGCTGTGGCGACCCCTGATGAATAAGGAACTTAGCCGAAAGGAAAATGAATGAACTTGACTTGGAAACACTGGTTAGAGTAGGCAGAAACCAGTACTTGTTCATATATAGCTAAAATATATAGCTAAAAATCCAGCCTGTATGTGTGTTTCAGATCATCGGCAGTGTTAATGCCTGAGAGCTGCCATGGCAAACCGGGGACCAAGCTACGGGCTCAGCCGAGAGGTTCAGGAGAAGATCGATCAGAAGTATGATGCGGAGCTGGAGTCTCGACTGGTGGACTGGATCCTGATCCAGTGTGGAGATGACCTGCAGCGTCCAGAGCCTGGCAAACAGAACTTCCAGAAGTGGCTCATGAGTGGAACAGTATGTTGTTTGTTTATATCGCACATTTTTACATCGCAGCATTGGCCAAAGTGCTAATACTAATAAAAATGACAAATCTCATAGAGTATAATTAAATTTACGTCCGCATGAACCGAAAGCTGCGACTGTTTTTTTTTTTTTCATATTGTGATGCAGTTCTTAGAGAAACGGAATAGTAAATGAGAAAACAGTGGGCGTGGCTTGTTTTTTCTACTGTAAGCTGATTGGATGTACACTGAAAAAAAGTGTTGCATGCAAGACTGTCGCAAACAATTTATTTGTGTTGAATTTAAACAAACAAATTAAGTTTAGTAATGTTCAACTTAATTTGTTTGTTTAAATTCAGCGCAAATAAATTGTTTACAACAACTTAACGTAAAAAAATTGAGTAAATCCAAGGAATCATCTTTGAATTATTTTTTCCAGTGTAGTTAAGTACAGAAAGATGGGGGAATGGGTTTTGGGAGAGTTATTACAACCTAATAGACTCCTCCTCCTCAACATTTCTGTTTGGTGTCAACTGACAGTCAGAGGGGCGTGGTTTAATGTTAGCCACTCCCAATATCTCAAAGGGGACCTATTATGCCCCTTTTTACAAGGAAACCCACACAAACACGGGGAGAACATGAACACTCCACACAGAAATGCAAACTGGCCCAGCTGAGGCTTGAACCAGCGACCTTCTTGCTTTGAGGCGCCACCACACCACCCTTATATTAATATTATTAATATTAATACAATATTAATCCCAATCTAAATGTTTGTTTTTTAGTAATCTAGAGTCCCCCTAGTTGAGTAGCACTGTTACAGGATGACGTATTGCATTATTATTATTTTTTTTAAAGATTTATTTTTGGCCTTTATTACTAGATAGGACAGCATTGAGACAGGAAGCGAAGTGGGAGAGAGAGATAGGGGGTAGGGTAGGGAAATGTCGTCGAGCCGGGATTCGAACTCACGACGCCCTGACGTGCTATTGCACCATATGTCGGCGCGCTAAGCACTAGGCTATTGCACCGACGACGTATCACATTATTAGTGACCTGGCAGAAGTGAATAACAAAAGTCTCCTCTTTTTTCTTTTCCTCTCCCTTGGCTCTTCTCAGATCCTCTGCCGGCTCATCAACAGTCTGTATCCCAGCGGTGAGGAGCCAATTAAGAAAATTACTGAATCCAAGATGGTCTTCAAACAAATGGAGAAGATTTCCCAGTTCCTGCAGTTTGCTGAAGAATACGGAGTCAACAGAGGAGACATATTCCAGACTGTAGATCTGTGGGAAGGTAAAACACATACATACATACACACACACAGACTTGTTCCTATATCCCAGTGGGGACTCTTATAGACGTAATTGTTTTTTTTATTTTTTATACAGTGGTGACCCTGCAATTTTACATTTGATTGTTTCTGTGCTTAAATTCTGTTTGAATTTTCTGTTCTGTTTATTTATTTATGCTTGTAATTTATTATATTTCATGCATAATTTGTCTATCTAAATGAATGGAATCTTTTTAAATAGAGCTATTCGATTCATCTGGTGAAATTGTATTCAGATCGCAGAAAAACTAAATTCAGCAATGTTAGATTTTTCCAATATCGTGCAGCCCTAATAAACTATTCATTTTGATTTCACACTGAATCTAATATAATGCTATATGGGAATTTACACGATGCCTTTAGTGGTCAGAGAGTCACAGGTCTCATGTTGATTTATGTTGTTTTAAAGGAAAGGACATGGCTGCCGTCCAGAGGACACTGATGGCTCTGGGAAGTGAAGCTCTTACGAAGGATGACGGTCATTATCGTGGAGACCCAGACTGGTTTCACAGGTGAGCTGGAGGACAACAGTGGCTCTTGTTTGGAGTTTAGCCAGAGAAAATCTGAGACCCCTAGTGGACCAACTCTCAGTGTCAGCAGAGCCTTTCTCTGTGTGGGAGCTCTAAAAATACAGCTGAAAGCAAAATGATTAGCTCGCCTGTGAAATGTAAATTCTCGGTCACATTTTACTTTAAGGGGTGTTCATAAGACTGTCATTGAATCTTCATAATTGTGACATGACACTTTGTGAATTGTGTATTTATGCATGCTTATAATGACTGTCATTCGCTCAGGTATGACATTTTAAATGCAAAGATGACATTATTTTTTCTGACAACTTGACAAATACATCACAACCTGTTCTTGTAAAGACAACAAAACTATAAAGATAAAAAAATGAACCCAGCTCAAATGAACAAAGTAACATAAGACTTGGTGTAAAAGAGCTTTACATTTTGCAAAACTAAAATTGACAAAATATGAATTATTCTAAAAAACTGCATATAACAAAGTAATATAAGTACATAAACATATTAGCAATAAAATTATATTAGTATTACTACAAACAATATTACACAGCTCAGATGAACAGTGTAACACAAAAGTAATGTAACATTACTTTCTCAGTACCATATTTAGTTACGAAGTAACGCAAGATTTGGTGTAAAAGAGCTTTACATTTTGCAAAAATAGAATTTTTATAAAACATATTACAGAAAACAGATTATAAAGTAATATCCGTATTATAATAATAGTGTTACTTTGAAGCAGTATTATATTATTACAAACAAACCATCTCAGAAGAACAAATGTAAAATTACTTTGCTTAAAGTAACTAAGCACCATATTTAGTTACTTCCTTTATGAAGAAACGCAAGATTTGGTGTAAAAGAGCTTTACATTTTGCAAAAATATAATTTAAAAAATATCTATTATTTAAATAAAAACTTTATTATAAAGCAATATTGGTACTTTTTAATATTAGTAATATAATACTAGTATTACTACAAAGTATTATAATATACATATAAGTATTATATTATATTCCAAAAAAAAAAAAAACCCAGCTCAGATGCACAACGTAACACAAATGAAATGTAAAATTACGCTCCCTAAAAAGTAACTAAGTACCATATTTAGTTACTTTTCATATTTAGTTACTTTTCTACGTATGTAAGATTTGGTGTAAAAGGGCTTTGCATTGTGCAAAAATAGAAATATATAAAACATTATTGCAAAAAACATTATAAAGTAATATCAGTATTATAATATGAGTGTTACTATAACGCAGTATTACATTATTACAAAGAACATCTTAGAAGAACTAATGTAAGATTACTTTCCTTATAAAGTAACTAAGTACAATATTTAGTTTTTTTCTACAAGGTAACAAAAGATTTGGTGTAAAAAGGCTTTGCATTTTACAAAACTAGATTTTATAAAACATATATTATTATAAAAAACACATTATTACAAAGTAATATTAGTACATATTATTATTAGTAATATAATAATACTATAAAGTAGTGTTATATTACTACAAAAAACCCAGCTCAGATAAACAACGTAACACAAAAGTAATGTAACATTACTTTCTTAGTACCATGTTCAGTTATTTTTTCTACGAAGCAACACAAGATTTGGTGTAAAAGGGCTTTACATTTTGCAAAAATATTTTTTTATAAAACATATTACAGAAAACAGATTATAACGTGATATCAGTATTATAATAATAGTGTTACTTTGAAGCAGTATTATATTATTACAAACAAACCATCTCAGAAGAACAAATGTAAAATTACTTTCCTTATAAAGTAGCTAAGTGCTATATTTAGTTACTTCTCTATGAAGTAACGCAAAATTTGGTGTAAAAGAGCTTTACATTTAGCAAAAATAGAATTTACAAAATATATATTATTCTAAAAAACCAATTATTATAAGGTAATATTGGTAGTTATTAATATTAGTTATATAATATTACTATAGTGTTATATTACTACAAAAAACCCAGCTCAGATGAACAGTGTAACACAAAAGTAATGTAACATTACTTTCTCAGTACCATATTTAGTTACGAAGTAACACAAGATTTGGTGTAAAAGGGCTTTACATTTTGCAAAAATACAGAAATATACAGAAAACAGATTATAACGTAATATCCGTATTTTAATAATAGTGTTACTTTGAAGCAGTATTATATTATTACAAACAAACCATCTCAGAAGTAGTAGAATGTAAAACTACTTTGCTTAAAAAGTAACTTAGTACCATAATTAGTTACTTTTCTATAAAGTAATTCAAGATTTAATACAAAAGAGCTTTACATTTTGAAAAAATTGAATTTTTATAAAACATATTACAGAAAACTGATTATAAAGTAATATCAGTGTAGCATTAAATTATTACAAAAACATCTCAAATTAACAAAGAAATACAAAGGTAATGTAACATTACTTTCCTTAAAAAGTACCATATTTAGTTACTTTTCTATGAAGTAATGCAAAATTTGGTTTAAAAGAGCTTTACATTTTACAAAAACAGAATTTAAGAAGTATATATTATTAAAAAAACATATTATTAAAAAGTACTATTAGTTTGTATTAATATTAGTAATATAATATTAGTATTATTTTATATTACAAAAAACCCTGCTCAGATGAAAAATGTAATCTAATATTACTTTGCCTAAAAAGTAACTTAGTTACTTTTCATTTTTAGTTACTTTCTAAAGCAAGATTGTAATATATCGCTTTTAAAAGCAACTTTTCCCAACACTGACAGTCAAAAACTCTGAGAGAGTGCATAGCAAATAGACCTGTGTTTGAATGTTTTAAATTGTGTTTCAGGAAAACCAAAGGCCACAAGCGTGAGTTTTCAGAGGAGCAGCTGCGCCAGGGTCGCGTTGTTATCGGGATGCAGATGGGAAGCAACCGGGGAGCGTCTCAATCTGGCATGGTAGGATACGGCACGCCACGGCAAATCATGCGCTACGACTCTCCACGACACAATGGAGACCAGAGCAATCCTTAAATACTACACAGCTGGGTGTTTCAATCTCTACTGGAGCCTGAAAAGCCAAATCTAGTGCTCCAGTTACAGGAGGAATGTGTACATGTGCGTTTGTGTGTGTATATATAGAGATTAACAGTGGATAAGGCTGTTTAAAATGATACACATTAAAGTATTGACCCATAATGCACCAATGCTATTGGTTACAAATCAAAGCCAAAATGTGAAAGTTTCCAATTAAATACCAGTATTAAAAATGTGCAGGCGTTAAAAAAATAATAAGTGTATTTTAGCAAACATGTAGATCTTTACCAATTGTAAGCTGACAATCTGTGAATTTTTGGACATGCATTTCGAATTACGCATTTGGCTGATGCTTTTACCCAAACCATTTTCTCCAAGCAAGCGCGAGCACACACACACACACACACGGGGTCTCATTTATAAAATGTTGTGCAGAAACCTTTGTAAAATTGTTCTAAGATAATTTTGCAAAACTGTGCAAGTGCGATTAAGAGAAAACTATTTTACATTTTGTCAGTTTAGTGGCTAATTCGTACGAGTTCAGTAGGGCAAAAATGTACAAATTTTAAAAGAAGGCGTGGCACCAAACCCCGCCCCTAAGCACAGCCGCCATTGGGGATAGGCAAATCGTACAAAATTGTACAAATGAGATCATACGAATTAGCCACTAAAAAAGTCAAACTCAAAGTTATGAATTGCCTCGAGTTAGCGCACGTGTAGTGAATGGGCGGGGCTGAGAGGCGTGGGAACAGGATGAGGCTGGTGCTTGAGTGTTTTCCTTCTTTGTGCTCGTCAATCTCAAGTACAGAAATTTAGATATTGGCATGTACTAATTATATGCTAAATCAGCCTGATCTCACAAAGGAAACAACTATTTTACGTTTTGTCAGTTTAGTTGCTTACTCGTACGAGTTCAGTCATGTGAAAATGTATGAACTTTAAAAGGAGGCGTTGAACCAAACTCCACCTCTAAACACAGCTGTCATTGAGGATAAGCAAATCGTACTAAAATGTACAGATGAGTTAATACGAGTTCATACAAATTAGGCACTAAATCAAAAAAGTCACGAATTGCCATAAATTAGCGCTGATGTAATAAGTGGGCGGGGCTGAGAGACATGGTAACGGAATGAGGCTGGTGCTTGAGTGACAATGTGAGACACCTGTGTCCCGCATATTGTTACCTTTGTACATCTATTTTACTATTGTTTCCTACTACTATTATTATTATTATTATTATTTTTAGTTGTTTTTAATAGTAGTAGTTTAGATGGTTTCCTTCTTTGTGCTCGTCAATCTTAAGCATAGAAATTCGGATTTCGGTATGTACTAATCATATGCTAATTCAGCCTGATCTCACAAAGGAAACGTAACTATTTTACGTTTTGTCAGTTTAGTGGCTAATTCGTACGAGTTTAGTCAAGTGAAAATGTGCGAATTTTAAAAAGAGGTGTTGCACCAAACCCCGCTCCTAAACACAGCCGTCATTGAGGATAAGCAAATCGTACTAAATTGTACCAATGAGATCATACGAATTCATACGAATTAGCCACTAGAAAAAGTCAAACTCAAAAATATGAATTGCCGCGAGAAAGCGCACGTGTAGTGAGTGGACGGGGTTAAGAGGCGTGGGAACGGGATGAGGCTGGTGCTTGAGTGGTTTCCTTCTTTGTGCTCGTCAATCTCAAGCATAGAAATTCGGATATTGGCATGTACTAATTATATGCTAAATCAGCCTGATCTCACAAAGGAAACATAACTGTTTTACGTTTTGTCAGTTTAGTGGCTAATTCGTACGAGTTCAGTCATGTGAAAATGTACAAATTTTAAAAGGTGGCGTTGCACCAAACCCTACCTCAAAACAAAGCTGTCATTGAGGATAAGCAAATCGTACTAAATTGTACAAATGAGAACATACGAATTCATAAGAATTAGCCACTAAATCGAAAAAGTTACGAACGTGAGATAGTGCTGGTGTAATGAGTAGGTGGGGCTGAGAGCCATGGGAATGTGATGAGGTCTCAAGTCCCACAGAGGAGCTCTGGATTTTAAAATGAAGAGAGACAGCAGTGGAAGACGAGAGTGGACCAGGCCCACTTGCTACGCCAACGCTATCTTATGGCAATTCGTAATTTTTTTTTATTTAGGCTAATTCGTATGATCTCATTTCTATAATTTTGTATGATTTGCTTATCCCTCAATCACTGCTGTGTTTAGAGGTGGGGTTTGGTTCCATGGCTTCTTTTAAAATTTGTACATTTTTACATGACTGAACTCGTATAAATTAGCTACAAAACTAACAAAATGTAAGTTACGTTTCCTCGTGAGATCAGGCTGAATTGGCATATAAAAAATACATGTTTTTATCAGAATTTCTATGATTAAGAGTGACGAACAGAAAGAGAAAAAAAAAATAGAATTTACTACTATTAGAAACAACTAAAATAATAAATAAATAAAATAATAATATATAAATAAATCACAAACTAAAATAATAATAGTAGTAGTAAACAATAGTATAATAGGTGTATAGAGGTAAACTACAAATTCAAGTAAAAACCTTTTAAAATCACTTGACAACTCATAAAAATGCTAACAAAACGTTAAAAAAAACATGATTATTGAAAGAAAATTTGTCGTTTCAACAGATAAAACAAACTAATATTACACAATTATGATCACTGATGTAAAAAAATGTGATTTGGCATTTCTGATTATTTACAGTTTAATAAAGATGTACCAATGTGCCATTAATATACTGACACAAAATATATTTTAAAAACATATATCTAATGTAAATGACATAAACTGGTCACAAACCTGTTTGAGTTTCTTTCTTTTGTTAAACACGAAAGGCGGTATTTTAAGGAAACCTGTAGCCACTGACTTCCACAGTAGGAAAAACAAATACTGTTTCTAAGCATTCTTCAAAATATCTTCTTTTATTTTCAACAGAAGAAAGAAACCACTTGAAGCAAAGTAAACAGTGAGTTAGTGTTTATTTTTGGGTGAACTATCCCTTTAAGGCTGCTATCTATTCTATCTATGTTCATAAAATCAGCAGGTGTTTATTTACTTTGAATTAATTTTGATTATTTATTTATTGTGGATTTTATGCACTGCCAAATCAAGACATCTAAAATTGTCTTGTAAAGAAACATAGAATTAAATAACAACAACATGAAATAAACAGTGCAGCCTACAGAATGCAATTAATCTGTTGAAGACAAAAGACGATATTTTGACGATCGCTGGAAACCTATAAGCAATGGCTTCCGCAGTAGGAAAAACAAATACTATGGAAGTCAATGGTTACTGTTTCTCAGCATTCTTCAAAATTTCTTCTTTTGTGTTCAACAGAAGAAAGAAACTCATAAAGGAACCACTTGAAGTTATGTAAACAGCAGAATGTTCATTTTTGGGTGAACTATCCCTTTAAGGCTGATGTCATTATTCGTTTTTCGAAGTAGCAGCAGATGTTTATTTATGTTGGATTTATTTGATGCTGATTGTTTATTGTGGATTTTATGCATTAGTAATTCAAATTCACTTGTGAAGTCAAATAAAATAAAAAACAACAACCTGGAATAAACGGTGTAGCCTACAGAATGCAAGGTAAACAGGCTAGGAAATGTGTTTAATCTCGCAAAAAAAAGTAAAATAAATTTGACTATACTGCACATTTAATCTCACGCTGAATCTTTGTTGTTTATAATGAATTTCGGAGCATGTACACTGATTTCATTTAGATGTTCAAATAGCTATTTTATTGACCTTATTCTAAAATGCGGAAGTGCGCCTGTTTTCGCGATTGTCTTAGAACTTCCGATTCAGTCGCCTATGGGAGAAATGACTAGGAATAATAAACGGCAGAAAATGGCCAAACTACTTGCTCAACAGACAAATGTTTGCATGACTACACAGACCAAGTAGCATAATATAATAAGAAAATATTAAATTGCAACATCAAGCAGCGTAACGAGCAGTTGTTAACGTCAAAAAATGAATGGAAGTGAATGTGACCGGAAGTCGCGAGACAAAAAGATTCAAATGGCAGCGCCCGCTCGTCAGCTGAGAATAAGGTGAATAAAAAAAAATAAAAAAACATTGCCGTTGAACCTTAACGTACAGATTTTTTCATGTAAAAGTGTTTCCATAAGTATGAATATTGCTGTGGATTTAGGCATACACACACATACACTTTATAAATAAGGCCCTGGTTGCTTTACGAGCTGTGCATGCTGTGCAATAGGATCAAAAAAAGTCAGTAACACATTTACTTGAAGTGGGTGTTCATAAGACTGTTTTGAATCCTTTATAATCACGACATGATGCACATCATGAATATGGAGATTTTATGCATCAATTTTAGGATTTTATGTGGGTGTCATTCACTTCAACTTGTCATAAACCTTTCATAAACATGAAAGCCATCATGAATATTTTCATACAGTGGAAGTCAGAATTATTCGCCCTCCTGGGAATTTTTGTTTCTTCTTTAAATATTTCACAAACAATGTTTAACAGAGCAAGGCATTTTTCACAGTATTTTCTATATTTTTTTCTTCTGGAGAAAGTCTTATTTGATTTATGTCGCCTAGAATAAAGGCAGTTTTAAAAGCAATTTTAAGGTCAAAATTAATATTATATTTTTTTCGAGTGTCTATCTGAATTTGTCATTTAAATTTCTCAGTGTAAGTGTCATTACTCTGTCAAAGACTTTAACAACGATGTCATTAATATTTAACATTTCAACATGGCAAATTCAGGTTGTACCACTGTAGTTGAGGTCAAGAAAAACATAATGTCCCTGTTAAAATAATATATGTATTGAAATTGAAATTAAAATAGTCATTATTTAAATTAAATTAACAAATGAAGATAAAATTCATGACACGGCTATAATGGCTTTATGGCAGTCATGTTTATGCCAGATTTATGACAAGTTTTGTCTTGATAATTTCAAGTCAACCAAGAAAGGTTGTGTTGTATTTGTTTATACATCAAGTTCAAGACATCTCGATTTAAAATGACATAACTGTGCGAGTGACACAAATGAATCATAAAGGCCTAATGACAGTCTTATAAACGACGCACTTCAAGTAAAGTGTTAGCAAAGCATCTATTTCAGGGGTGGGCAAACTTGGTCCTGGAGAGCCGGTGTCCTGCAGAGTTTAGCTCCAACTCTAATCAAACACACCTGCTTATAGATTTTTAGTTATCTTGAAGACACTGATTAGCATGTTCAAGTATGTTTGATTAGAGTTGGAGCTAAACTATACAGGACACCGGCCATCCAGGACAGAGTTTGGCCACCCCTGGTCTATTTTTCAAAGCCATACGTAACCAACTGGTGTGTTGAGATATGCAGCGCTCAAACTTATAATTGTATCCAGTAGAGTTGAAACTGTGCCGAATTGCTACTAAATGTACACTATTACTGATGTCTAACTATAAAACGTCACTGTTCCTGCTACCAGAATGCCAAACTGATGGACTCAGGTCATTCTACCGCATAACGTCTTCACTCATTTGTTCTGTATACTTTTCTGATGTCACTTAAAAAGTAAACTAATGATATACATTCCAGTGATACGAGAAAAGAGACGGTGTGTTGTGTAAAAGTGGAATTTATGCACTGTTAATTAAAATGTATTCGTTTTGAGTCCATGCATCTGTTAACATGCATGTAAATGTGCTTCTCATGTTTTTTTTGGGAATATTTTAATGTTTGTTTTCACTGATATACAGTAGTTTTGACAATCAAAACACAGTCCTGTCAAGACTGAAATGGTTTAATTGCTATGTAGTGTTTCTTGTTATTTTTGTGGTTTGGCTTTAAATCTACTTTACAGTGTTTGTTAGACAAAAAGGAATGCAGTTGTATAACACGCTTTATGTTTAAACATTATTTTTATATCTAATTTATGTAGGAATTGAATTATTTATAGTTTTGAATTTATGAAAAGTATAAAAACTGTGAGATTGTCCTGAAAAATGACGGAGAACTGGAATGAAATTAGTCTTAGACCCAATCCCATTTCTACCCCCTTAGCACTTCCCTTTCCCCCAACCCCTTGTTTTGTGCATTCACGTGAAGAGGTCAGGGTGTCCCAATTCTCTTTATCTTAAAAAGCATATGACTAAGGGGAAGACCTAGATTTTCCAGGAGCACACTAGAAACCAAAGGGCACCAGAATACACTATGTACAACGGCAACATGGCTGCACACGAAAGTCAGAAGATGCACAAAGTTGTCTTGTTTGTCAATATCACGAGTTTGTACAACAAAATTTATTACGACGCTCTTAAAAAAAAAAAAAAAACGGATAAGAGAAGCGCTAAATTTTGCTATCTATAATCAATAACTCCTGTATAGCAGTCCCACAACACACTTTCCCATGTGATGACACTGGAACACCCTGTCAGAAATGTCTAGTGGCTGGGAATGAGCTTTTTACTGTGTCTGCTATAATGTTAATGTTGTTTTCAAGTGTTTACATAGATCAGGGGTCACCAATCCTGGTCCTGGAGGGCCGGTGTCCCTGCAGGGTTTAGCTCCAACTTGCCTCAACACACCTCCCTGGATGTTTCAAGTATACCAAGTAAGCTCTTGATTGGCTTGTTCAAGTGTTTGATCAGGGTTGGAGCTTAAAATCTGCAGGACACCAACCCTCCAGGAACAAGTTTGGTGACCACTGACATAGATGAACATAGCCAGGGTGTAAATACACAGTAGAGTTACGATCTTATTGGCACATTATAAATAAATACCAAAAAATAATGCAACTGGAATCACTACAGCAGTTACCATCGTCAACCTCATATGAAGTAAGCCCTCGCGATGGCATATAATGTTGTGTGCGGGTGTTGTAGTGCTGTCCCTTTTCATAAGGTAAATTTGAAGCCCTACACTCTGTTTTAAGGGCCAAGGGAAAGGGGTAGGGGTAAAAAACAGAATTGGGATTGGGCTCAAATGTAGTGTTTCTTGTTATTTTTGTGGTTTGGCTTTAAATCTACTTTACAGTGTTTGTTTGAAAAAAAGGAATGCAGTTGTATAACACGCTTTATGTTTGAACATTATTTTTATATCTAATTTATGTAGGAATTGAATAATTTATAGTTTTGAATTTATGAAAAGTATAAAAACTGTGAGATTGCACTGAAAAATGTTGGAGAACTGGAATGAAATTAGTTTTAGACCCAATTCTACCCCCTTAGCCCTTCCCTTTCATTTTACACGTTCACGTGAAGGGGTAGGGGTGTCCCAATTCTCTTTAGGCTTTAGGCATACAGCTAGAAAGTCCTTGAAACAGAGATTTTCCAGGACCACACTACACTCTCAGAAATAAAGGTACACAAGTTTTCACAAGGGTGGTACCTTTTAAAAAGGTACACATTTGTACTTAAAGGGTCCATATTGGTACCTCAAAAGTATATATCAGTACCTAAAATATTTAAGAGGAACACTTTTGAACTTTTAAGGTCCTAATATGTACCCTTGAGGTATTAATATAGACCTTTTAAGTACAAACTTGTACCTTTTAAAAAGGTAAAACCCCAGTGACAGCTCGTGTACCTTTATTTCTGAGAGTGTAGAACCCAATATGTACAAACATTTCCCAGAATACATCATCTATAAATGGCAGCATGGCTGCGCACAGAAGTTAGGAGATGCTCAAATGGGAATTTTTTTGTCATTATTATGAATTTTCACAACAAACAAGAACATATTTTAATATATTCATAACCGCATTTATGTTTTACCGCCATGCTTTAAAAAAACAATATAAAATGCTAAATTTCACTATCTATGATTCATTATAATAACTCCTGTACAGCAGTTACACAACATTCTTTACAACCGATGACACTAGAACCCCCTGTCTGAACAGTCTAGTTACTGGAAATGTGTGTCTGGTGTAACATTAATGTTGTTTACATAGATCAATATGGCCGGAGAGCAATCGCACAGAACAGTTATGAGCTTTTTGCCACATTATATTGTTATGATAACATGATATGGTTGCCTTCAGTGATTTCCTGAAGATAAACACCTATAAAAATGCAACTGGAATCACTACAGCAGTCGCCATCGTCAATGTCATATGAAGTAAGAGCTTGTGATGACATATGATGATGTGTGCCAGTGTTGTAGTGCTGTCCCATTTTTAGGAGTAAATTTTAAAGCCCTTCCCCTTCACACATTGTTTCAAAGGCCAAGGGAAAGGGATAGGGGTACGAAAATAGAATTGGATTGGGCCTAATTGTAGTGTATCTTGTTATTTTTGTGGTTTGGTTTTAAATCTACTTTACAGTGTTTGTTAGAAAACAGGAATGCAGTTGTATAACACGATTTATGTTTAAACATTATTTTTATATCTAATTTATGGAGGAGTTAATTTTTTATAGTTTTGAACAGTTAGATTGTACTGAAAAATGGAGAAATGGAATGAAATTAGTAAATTTTTCTATTTTATAATTAATTGTGGTTTGTCAGTGTGAGGGGAAAAAATCAGTATTTAAAGATCTTCCTTTCATATTTGGGCACTAATGATACATTTCCCTAAAAAAAAAGAACAAATGTCTCTGTATTTGTGCGAAAATGTTTTACGTTCACTTATTTTTTTAAACTGAATTAATAATTAGGCCTGTCACAATAATGATATATCATATATCGACTTCTCGCACATAGACATGACCTCAATCATTTTTGGTGATGCAATATATCGCCCCTACATAAAAAAAAACTATTTCAGCTGATTGAGCTATATTAGAGGTGTCAGTATGGTTAAAAACACTGTAGTATTTTCTATAAATTACTATAGTATATTTTCTTGTGGGTGTCTAATGACTGAAAATAGATCTGCAGCAGGTATCGCAGCCTCTGTTCCTCTTTACCTTGCACTTTTTGGTTAACATTTATTATTTAAGATATGCGTTTTCACATTCTGATTTCAATGCCTGATTAATAAACTGTTAAAATGACTATAATTAAATGAAATATTCTGAAGAATAAAATATGATGTGTTCATTGGGGAGTGTACTTGCATTGTGATATTATATTGTCATTCTGCCATTATATAATAATATTTAATGCTCTTAAAATGACAATAATATTGTTTACTGCATAATATTTTGGTGCATAATATATTTTACAACAAAAATAGATAAAGTGACAGGCCTATTATTATTAATCTGTTTTGTTTGGGCTAATTTTGAGGCTAGTTTCATTTCAGATTATTCCAATATTGGTGAAGTTTAGCCTTTTTTAAAGATGGTGATGTGTTTATGATGTCAGGGTAAATGTGTACACACACAAACACACATATATTCATGTGCGCAACTATTACGCCCCATTCATATGGGGCGTCAGCGTCAACGCTTCCCATTCACCTTGAATGAGTGACATCAGGCGTTGCCGAACTGCATTGTGGACCCGCCGGCGCTGCTTCAGTGGCGTTGCTCGCTGCAGAAGTTGGGACTTTCTAAACTTTTCAAGCGGCGACGGAAGCGTCAGCCAATCAGAACGCTGTATGCAAATACACCAGCTCAGACAGTGGCCTATTGCAGACATATTTCATTGGCTGACGCTGCTATGACGATCGCGTCAGCCCCAACTTCAGACACGCCCTCTGTCAGACGTTGACGCTGTAGCCCTGTGTGAATGGGGCGTTAGTACTTACTTACCTTGATACAGGTGACAGTAAACAAAGCTAACAGTAAACAAAATGGAGTTTATTTGAAGAGTTTAGCATAATACTCTCCTTGAGCTGATATACATGTTCTTTCTGCTTACTAAAAACACATCTAAATCATCACAATGACTTCACATTCTTCTTCACACGCATCTCTCTCTCACACACACACACACACACTCACACACACATTTACGCTTGTAGCACTTTCAGAAAAAAAACAAAACATAAAAACAGAAAGAGTATGGAAGCTAAACTGGAATGAAAACAATAAAAGAAAACGTAATGAATCAAAAGCATGATGTCTTTGTCTTCTTGCTTTCACCTTTTTTCTTCACTCGCCATCTGGCTGACCGTCTGCCTGTTCCTCTACGGCATGTTTAAGCTGGAAACCAAACCAAAACATATACATTGATCCATCCACAAAACCAGGACAACATGTTGCATTAAGAGCAGTTGGAGTTGTGTACCTAATAAAGTGGCCGGTGAGTGTATATATGGTTTGATTCAAGGTAATCTCTGCTAAACAGGCCAACAAGAGAGCCATTAAGCTAATCTGTGGTCAAAAGTGTCACATTAACACATTGTAATGACTGCTGTAAGTGCACTGCTGTCACCTTGAGGTTGTTGTAGTGGTCAAGGCTGCGGCAGTGCTCTGATTTTGCTTTATTCTCATCTGTGTAGAACATGTTACACAGTTTGCAGAAGAAACCAGTCACTGGGATGACGTAGCTCACACCTGAAACAAACAAGGCAGAGGAGTGTTTTCTGAGACAGGATTTACAGTTTTACCTAAATTTACAGAAACACTCAATTTCAGCCCACTTCCACTTATTTATTAGGGGTCACCACAGTGGAATGAACCACCAACTATTCTGGGAAATGTTTTACACAGCGGATACCCTATCAATCAATCAATCAATCTATCAATCAATCCATCCATCTACAGTATCCATCCATCCATGTAATCAATCTATCTATCTATCTATCTATCTATCTATCTATCTATCTATCTATCTATCTATCTATCTATCTATCTATCTATCTATCCATCCATCCATCCATCCATCCATCTATCTATCTATCTGTCTGTCTGTCTGTCTGTCTGTCTGTCTGTCTGTCTGTCTGTCCTACCACACAATCTATCCATCCATCCACACAATCCATCCATCCACACAATCCATCCATCTATCTATCTATCTATCTATCTATCTATCTATCTATCTATCTATCTATCTATCTATCTATCTATCTATCTATCTATCTATCTATCTATCTATCTATCTATCTATCTATCTATCCATCCATCCATCCATCCATCCATCCATCCATCCATCCATCCATCCATCCATCCATCCATCCATCCATCCACAGTATCTATCTATCTATCTCCAGCCAATTTGATGATAATGTCAGTAAAGTCTACTGTTATTTTGACTGCAGGTGTAGTTGTGTTTATTTTGGCATGCATCCATTGAATCATGGACAGGACATACCAAAAGTCTGGTCAGGTTGGTAAGGCTCCAATGGGTTTTTTTCCTCATGACCATCCTCTTCGCTTATTATTTCAGAATCTGGATCTCCACCAACACCTTCACACTCAGGTGCAGGCCTTTGCTGATTCTGCAAACACACATTTTCCTATTTTTTTTTTTTATTTTAATTTTTTTAAATCAGTATTGAAACATAAGAAATATGACTGACATTCTGCTTTTCCTTTCCTTCCTTCCTGCCAAAAATGAAAATACTTTTATTAATTATTCACCCTCATGTTTTTCCAACCTTCATTCATAGTCAAACACAAATTAGAATATTTTAGATGAAATCCTGGAGCTCTCTCTAAGACATTCAAAGTCTAAAAACCAAACAAAAACATTGTCCAAACCTTTAATGTGACTTTAGTGGTTCATCTACAAACATACAAAGCTCCGAGAACAATTTTGTGCCCCAAAATTATTGTTAAAACAACATTGTTTATATCATCTATATGACATGTTGCTATTAGAGTCAGCAACACAACATGCAAGTGTAATATCGCCATTAGTAAACACACACCCTGACCTGACGCAAAAATATAGGAGAACTAAGGTCATTTTTACTTTGTTTTTGGTGCACAAAGGTGTTCCTGGAGCGCTATATGATTACCGTTGAACCACTGAAGTCACATGGACTGTTTTGACAATATTTGGTTTCCATTTCGGGACTTCACTCGCTGTCTATAGAGAATGAGAGAGCTCCAGGATTTCATCTAAAAGGTCTTCATTTGTCTTCTGAAGATGAACGAAGCCCTCAGGAGATTAAAACCCAAATGAGGGTGAGCAATTAAAAACAGAGTTTTCATTTCAGGGTGAACTTAGATCAAGATATCTTCATGATCACGAGAACGGATTTATTAGAAAGTGTCCAATGATGTGTTGTTCACCTGTTTTGCGCCCCTCTTTCTTGCCTTGCCATTTCCATCAGTGCTTGGTTTAGTTGTTTGGCCATTATCTTTTGACTCTTTCTCCTCAGTGTCTTGCTCCGGGCCGCTGTTTCTGGAAGTTTCTTCCTCAGCGACAGGGTCCCTCCTAAAATCACAGAGCAAATCTGTATTTCTTTTCAAGTACTTTAGTAGGGATGGGGTTCAATGCACTAGAAAGGTGATGGGTTTACTTTTCAATTGTATATAAATATTTGGGTAACACTGTGTTTTAATTTAACGTATCAATTCACAGTATTAACTACTGGCTTCTTTATTATTGTATATCTTGTAGCGCTTAGAGTTTAAAAAAAAGCACATTAATTCATTCATTGATTTTCTTTTCGGCTTACTTTATTAATCTGGAGTCGCCACAGCGGAATGAACCACTAACTTATCCAGCACATGTTTTACGCAGCGGATGCCCTTCCAGCTGCAACCCAGAACTGGGAAACATCCATACACACTCATTCACGCACATACACTACGGACAATTTTTAGCTTACTTAATTCACCTATAGTGCTGTCTGTGGACTGTGGGGGAAACTGGAGCACCCGGAGGAAACCCAACGCAAACACGGGGAGAACATGCAAACTCCACACGGAAATGCCAACTGATCCAGGCGAGGCTCAAACCAGCGACCTTCTTGCTGTGAGGCTACAGCGATACCCACTGCGCAATATATTTGAAATTATAGAAAATTAAATATTTAATGAAGACCTGGCAACCTATGATCACATATTTTGAAAAAATTAAGACACTCTTGTATCTTTAACCAATTTATATTAAGAAATAGGATTCAATTCATATGCATGTAGAAGACTACTATAAACATGTCAGATAATTGATCTGTAATAACACGTAGGCATTTATTTATTTGAATTATTTTTACAATTGATATTGTCAAATTGTAAATGTATAAAATACTGGGAATTTTTTTTATTTTTTATTTTATTTGATTTAGCTTTATTATATTTTTATCTATTTCTGTTGCAATTGAATTTGTTAATTTATTTTGCCGGCAATGGGCAAAAAATGAAACCTTGCTTGTCTAAAATGTTTTGTTAAAGCTTGGAACAAATAAATATAAAAAAAAAAAAGAAACACTTTTCTCGCCATATGCACCATACAATTTACTTGGGCCCCGTTTACACTAAGCAGGGTTCAACGCTAAGGATTTTTTCTACTGGCCCAATCAGACCACTGGTTCAGATTTTTACTTGCCCTGCCAATATTTTCACTGGCCCCACCAAAAAAAGTTAATAGCTATTTCTTAGCCACAAATAAAACAAAAACGTGTAAAATGTTTGTAAATCTAAAATTTTTATATTTAAAAAATGTTAATAAATGTGCAATGAGCAAATTCAAAGCGTTTTGAAACAAAAGTTGGCTAAAGACTGGCCAAACAGATGGAAAACTGAACATAACTTATTTTTTTTGGTCATGGTGTACGCTCGTATATGTCTGCTTCCAAGACGTTAGAAACAAATGTTTTCCTTTAGCATTATCATTTGATGTTAGTGCCATGTTGCTGTCTCTTTGCTGTACTAATAACATGCTTACAACATCAAATCAGATAAGAACCGAGAAGGTAGCATTTGAAGGCTTGAAAACACAAACTGTTTTTCAATTCTAAGACTGTATTTGCACGCAGCTGACAAATAGTCACAGGCAAATTAAACTTTGGTGACAAGACAGCAGTGGCCCGATCAGGCCAGTAACGATCCTGTCTACTGTCTACTGTCCCGAGCATCTCACACGCAAACATGATGAAATGAACGAGACGGAATCACCCACCACTGAATCTGAGAGTCTCCGATCTTGCAAATAGCAACATTCAGTATTTGGCCAAACACTGAAAAGCTGCGACGCCGTCGTCTGTACTGCGCAACCATATGTTCAGCAGACTCCGAACTGTCAAACTGCACATAACACTGCAGGAATGCGAAGGGCGACAAGAAAAACAAACACAAATTGAAATATTTCTGAGCATTCTCAGTTCAAGTGTTTAATTATTCGATTGTTTTTCCAAATCTCATTACAAGCTGGAAAACATTTGAACTTTTCATACACATCACTCCAGCATTTTTACATTTTTATTTACACACATACAGTTGAAGTCCTGAATTATTAGCCCCATTACGATTTTTCCCCAATTTCTGTTTAACCAAAAGATTTTTTCCAACACATTTCTAAACATAATAGCTTTGATAACTCAGTTCTAATAACTGATTTATTTCATCTTTGTCATGATGACAGCACATATTTTACTAAATATTTTTCAAGATACTAGTATTCAGCTTAAAGTGACATTTAAAGGCTTAACTAGGTTAATCGTAAGATTATAAGGGGGGTTCGCTTGTCGATTTCCAAAATCAAATTTATTTTATTAAACTATTAGAATAACAATATTTTATCCATAACCTACAGATGAACATAATAGTAGTTAATAGTAACATTGTCAACATGTTAATAATAAATCTTAATAATAAACAATACATAAAAAGCCATCAGTCTTTCGATGTTCTAGGAACCACAGGGGTGATAACATTATACTAAAGACACAGCAAACTGCATCAGATGCAGCACATTTATTTTATGTCACCAGGTTCTGACACCTCACGTATATTAAAATATCATATGATATAGGCCATAGAGGATGGTCTCAGAGGTGCATTCTGCAAAATTAAATGATGAATAGTCCTGGGCATATTGGTATGTGTGTGCCGTTGTGTACAAGGTTTAAATATTTATAACCACCTCAGAGAATATTGGGAGTGGCGAGTCACTGGGATTGTTATTTTGGGGTCGCAGGCTGAAAGGTTTTTAAAAACTATTACTTAAGGAGGCTAATAATATTGAACTTAAATTGTTTTTTTAAAAATTAAAAAGAAAATGTTATAGGAAATACTGTGAATTCCTTACTCTGTTAAACATTATCTGGGACTTCATTTTGACTTCAACTGTATAAATAAAGTTGAAGTCAGAATTATTAGCCCTGCTGTTTGTTTGTTTTTTCCCCAATTTCTGTTTAGCGGAGAGCAGATTTATTCAGCACATTTCTAATCATAGTAGTTTTAATAACTCATTTCTTACAACTGATTTATTTTATCTTTGCCATGATGTAAATAATATTTCACTAAATATTTTTCAAGATAGCTATACAGCTTAAAGTGACATTTAAAAGGTTTACTAGATAATTAGGTTAGGGTAATTAGGCAAGTTAATGTATAACAGTGGTTTGTTCTGCAGACTATTGAAAAAAATATAGCCTAAAGGGGTTAATAATATTGACCTTAAAATGATGTTTAAAAAATTAAAAACTGCTTTTATTCTAGCCAAAATAAAACAAATAAGGCTTTAAGAAAAAAAAATATTATCAGACACACTGTGAAAAACTCCTTGCTCTGTTAAACTTTATTTGGGAAATATTTAAAAAAGAAAAAAAAAATGCAAAGGTAGGGTAATAATTCTGACTTCAACTGTATATATTTACAAATTAATGAGAAAAAAAAACGCGAGTATACATACCATCCCTTGATGTCTGTTCAGACAGAAACCAGTCAGGTTTCCATAACGCTTGGCCATTCTCAAAAGGGTTGATTGTTTGTATTTCTGCCGCATGTACCACTTGTTAGGCAGATTGCCCATGAACACGGTTCTTCCACTAGGGACCTAAAAAAAATAAAAAAATAAAAAAATAAAAAAATAAATATATATATATATATATATATATATATATATATATATATATATATATATATATATATATATATATATATATATATATATATATATATATATATATATATATAAAGCAGCACTTTTCCGATGGTCCCTTACTAAAAGCTCTGCGCAAGCTCTCCCGGCTAAACGCATAATGCGAGGGCTTAAAAGGGGCAATGGTCGAGCGAAAAAAAAAGAAAAGGAAAAGCTGTGAAACATAACCAGCTTTGTCTTTTTGTAGGAAACACACTTTAGATCTTTTTTAGGGTAAGAGGTTTTTGAGTTATTGCCGCTATAACTGAATGTGTCAGGAATATTGAAAACAAAACCAACTTAACCGCGCACATTTCTGCCGCCCTCCTGTACAGCGTCCTTAGCATTTGCCTATACTGCCTATGCAGGGCAGGTGTTACACCATATTCTGTGACCATCGATGGACAGAGCGCATAGGAGATAAATGACGTCAGTACATAATAACCCGTTATGATTATTACTGAACTGATACCGAATTGTCCGCTTCTGCATCACGGTGCACTGAAGAAACAATTAATTTTGACACCCCTAGTAACAAAAGTGGAAGTAATAATACAAATGATAATAGTGAGGAGGTGAGGGGAGGTTGGGAATTCAGGAAGAGGACAAATACTACTACTACTACTAATAATAATAATATTAATAATAATACTAATAAAGTAGAAGTCAGAGAAAAGAAAAGAGAAAAAATAGAAAAAGAAGAAGGAGAAGAAAAGGAAGAAATATAAAAGAAAAGGTGAATTTTTTTTTGTAATTTGTGTATTTTTCAATGTTTTGTTTTCTTTACCTCAATTGTTGTCATGGCAAAGCACATGGTAACAGACACCGGTCTGCCATTTATCATCGCCTTGTGACTTTTGTAAAACTTCACCATTTCCTGGGCTTTTTCAACTGTTTCCAGTTCAAGCATAGCCTACAAAACACACACAAACACACAAAACAAATGTCTCAAATCACAACTTGAAACTGTACGATATGATCACTCTAATAAATAAAACTGCAATCTTATGTGAGAGCATGCCTAAAAACCTGATAACAGAAGTCCTGCATTAATTATATCATTAATTATTAATAAGCAGAAATTAGTACTTTACTAAGCTAAAAGTCATAGTTAATAGTGTGTTCATAATAGTGCCTTAAAATAAAGTGTGACTGAATAAAGTGTATATGAATGCTCCATCCATAAGCGTACCACTGACCTGTTGTTTGATTATAGACAAGGTATATCTCACAAGGCCGCCGAAGGGTACACAGAGATCGGAAAGATTACTGATCAGCTCCCTCATAGTCTCTGCTGGGCTTTTCTTTATAGGCCATATGACCACTACTTTACCATCCTGTGCACAGGAAAACACACAATGCTATTAAAAATTCTGGAAATACATACTTTAATGCAGCAGTCCAAGAGATAGTTCACCCAAAAATGAACATTTACTCATCCTTCACCCTGAAGTGGCTTTATAGTTTTAAGAGTTTCTTTTTTCTGTCGAACATAAGATATTTAGAAAAGTTGTTCAAAATTAATTCACTTACATAATAAACAAACAAATACTATGGGAGTTATTGGTTACAGGTTTGCAGCTTTCATTCAAATATCGTCTGTGGTGTTCGACAGAAGAAAGAGACTCATAAAAGCTTGAAACAAGACAATGATGACAAAATATTCAGTGTTGGGTGAACTGTGCCTTTAAAGCGTGGTAAATGAGAGATGTAATGCTTACCTGCGGCTCAGATGAATCTGAAACAAACAATCAAAAAAAGTTTATTGTAAGATTTATGCTAATACTGGTGATTCATTTAGATTTAAATAGTGGTTAGATATTGATAAATAAAAACTACAATAATGAATATGATGCTGCACTCCAATTTACATACTATCTGCATAAAATAGTATTTAAAAATTCAATTCGTATTGTGCGTCCATATAAAGCACTATAATTTATGGAATAACTATTGCTAACTGTGTCATTCTAAAGGCTCCTACACACCGGGACGTTTTTTGTTTGCGTTTATCGTCAGCGTTTTACGAGACGTTTTTCAGTGTTCAAACCCAAGCGCTTTTCACTGGCGTCAAGCAGACGAGTATGCTAAATCACTCTTTTGATGTTTTTTTGGCGCTGCACAACTATAAGCTTCTGACACCCGGTTATAACACAGAAGAAGTGGAGGAGCGGAAGTTCAAAGTCACACGCTTGCGCTCTAGCGATAAAGAAATGATTATTGTTTACCAGTGCAATAAGCAGCTCCACGTTCATATCGCCTCTGGGCATCTTCTTCAATGTGCGCTCGCATTGACAGTTCTGCGCTTGAGTGCCTCCAAGTGCTGTTTACTGTAACTTCAGCAGCTCCGTGCACGTGAACAAAGGTGCCGATCTGATTGGTGGAGAAGGATCTGATTGGTGGAGAAGGTTTTGACGCCATGCGTCAAAACAAAAAAACGAGCATGAGGCAGTTTTTAAAAAATGACGCTTTTGCGCCTGGCGTTTTGCGCGTTGGTGTGCACGATCACATTGATGCCCTTTATTTAGTTACGAGGCATTAAACGACGACGGAAAACGCAAGCAAAAAACGTCTCGGTGTGCACGGGCCTTAAAGCTGTGGAAATCAGATTATATTCCTTAATTTAGGACATGATTGACTTATCTTACTCTAATAACGCACATAGAAAAAGTATAATATAGAGTGCTTGGTAACCAGTGGCGCTATAAATAAACAGCGTTACTAACTGCAATTTTTTATTTCTTATTTTTTTAGAAACGAGTAATCAAATGAACTAATGTTTCTTCCATTATAAAGCCTGGTTTATACTTCTGCGTCAAGTGACCGGCGTAACTCACGGAGCAGGCAACGCGCGTGGCTGTGCATTTATACTTCTGCGCGCTGTCTCTGTTGGTCTGCATTAACACTTCCGAAACGCTAATTGGCAGTGAGGTGTAAATGTTCCTCTGTGTCGAGTTTCTTCGCTTCTGTTTTGCTTTTCCTGAACACTTCCTGGATGTACAAGTGACTCAAACTCGCTCATTTTGAGGCAGGAACCGGCGGATGTGCAACAACTTTAACTATGAGGTAAACACAAAACGAAACTTTCCATCCGGAGCTCCTTCACGGGACTCCGCACTTGTAAACAATCGCTCGCGCCATTCGCGCGTCTCTCTGTCCCGCCCAGGCTCGTCAGCGCTACCAAGCCGACCAATCACAGAGCTTGCGCTACGTGTTGTTGCGACGTGTAGTTACATTTTTTGAGAGGTGCACGTCAGTGACGCCGATGGCCACGGCGAAGGGCTATGCATCAGCGCCGTAGCATACGCTGGCGTTTGACGCAGAAGTATAAATCAGCCTTAACGCTGTTACCATTAGTGACAATAAAATGCACGTTACTATAATTGAGAACACTGTACACGTCACCATTTTTCATAACATATTCCTAATGCTGCGCTCTAACCAGACGCAGATGAAGCATCAAGCGCGAGTGATTTACATGTTAAGGTCATCCTGTGGTGCGATACGTGTAAATGATGCAGCGCAAAAAATGCAATTCACACGAATGAAGCGGTGCAAAGAGTGTTTTGTGCGATTGACACGCTTAGCGCACATATCGTGTTACAAGTAAATTGCTCGAGTTGGAAAATCTGAAATTCAGCGGACATCGTGCCGCGTTAACCTATCAGGAGCATTCTCTTGTAGGGGCGGGATTTTGACGTAGCGCCTGTCCTTCTGCCGACACCAGACAACAGTTCATCAAACTGGGCTAGACTCAGTCGGAAGCTGAAAAAGTATTGAACACATGAAAAAAGGGAGGTGTAACCGGAGCACCCGGAGGAAACCCACGCAAACACAGGGAGAACATGCAAACTCCACACAGAAACGCCAACTGAGCAGAGGCTCGACCCAGCAACCTTCTTGCTGTGAGGCGACAGCACTACCTACTGCGCCACTGCTTCGCCCTCTTTGTGTCATTTCATTGTTATTACACAAACAAATTTTTCCGTTTTTTTTTTGTTTTGTTTTGTTTAATTTTTATGTTTGTATTGTTCGGGTTTTTACCAAAATCTGGTTCAATTCCATGTCAACAGCTCCTTTAGACATATTGCCAGGAAAAAAAATGGCGTGTTCAATGTATTTACTTTTTCTTCTTAAAGTACATACTTTAAGGATGTATTTTAAGTATACAAAACGAGAGGCAGCATTATTGATCCTACTGTGAACGAATTATCCCTGCATGTAACTAATTCATTAAAAATACTTCTGGTAGAATTGCTCAAACTTGGCACATATCGGGAGCAGTCCACTGTATTTACCTAAAGCTGAATCTCCTCCTGCAGTGTTGTCCAGTTCATCTAATGTAACAAAATCTTCTATGTCCTCTGGAAATTCCATATCATCCTAAAAAAATGGGACAGATAAAAAAAAAAGCACACAATTTTTTAGTCAAACCAGATCTAAATGAATAGTCAAGAAGCCATTTATTTTTACTCATGTGCACTAAAAACCTTTCGCTCCACCTCTATGTAAACGGCATGTATTACTTGTGAGTATTTGTAAGTCGCTTTGTATAAAAGTAAAGTTCTTCTGTAATTACAGATTTAGGATTAACCAACACTCACCTTAAGCCTGGTTTATACTTTTGCGTCAAGTGATTGGCATAACTCACGGAGCAGGCAACGCGCGTGGCTGTGCATTTATACTTCTGCGCGCTGTCTCTGTTGGTCTGCATTACACTTCAGAAACGCTAGTTGGCAGTGAGGTGTAAATGTTCCTCTGTGTCGAGTTTCTTCGCTGCTGTTTTGCTTTTCCTGAACACTTCCTGGAAGTACAAGTGACTCAAACTCGCTCATTTTGAGGCAGGAACCAGCGGACGTGCAACAACTTTAACTATGAGGTAAACACAAAACAAAACTTTCCATCCGGAGCTTCTTCACGGGACTCTGCACTTGTAAACAATCGTTCGCGCCATTCGCGCGGCTCTTGGTCCGGCCCAGACTCGTCAGCGCTACCAAGCCGACCAATCACAGAGCTTGCGCTACGCGTTGTTGTGATGTGTAGTTACATTTTTTGAGAGGTGCACGTCAGTGACGCCGACGGCCACAGCGAAGGGCTATGCGTCAGCGCCGTAGCATACGTCGGTGTTTGACGTAGAAGTATAAATCAGCCTTTAGTCATATTTGGTTTAGCGCATTAAAGTTTCCATGAAATCAAAAGTTTTTTAGATGTTAGTATCAGTATTGCTAGTTTTTAAAGAGTCACAAAACACATTTTTTGAGCTGTTGACAGTCGTATATGTGTCCCACACTGCTAAAAACACTATTAGGACACCTATATTTCACTAAAAAGTGTAAATTGGTTGTTTTTGCGTTATTTCAAGCAAATTAGTACTTCCGGTTTGAAACGAATTTTTGAAGCTGCGTCACAGTCATGACATAATAGCGTGTATTCCAGCGTGCAGACTGGACATCTGTACAAAAGTGTCCTGAGTGTAAACATGTTAGCACTACAACCAAACTTTAACCTCGTGTAGGATTTTCATCGCATTTTGTGACCGAAATAACACACACGGCTTTCTGACGCTACCTGCCATGTGCATCTAAGTTTCCGGGAAATGCTGAGGTTTTTTTTCTCTCATTCGCCGTGCGGTATCAAACATTGCATGAAAAATACACGCTTACAGCAGTTCCTCGAATCAAATATCTTGTTTGTCGAGAGGGACATGAATGAATTCCCTGAATAAAAGAGCCGAACTGCAGTTAAAGTCCAACATTTAATAATTTGGCAAATAATTTGACTACAGATGTCCATGTAAACACAGTCACTTTGTCCCGTGTGTGTGTTTTTTGACTCTGAAACTCAGCGCGCCCAAATAGACACTCCCACACCAAGCCTCTTTTCTTCCTCTGACACGCCCCCCTAAACAGAGCTGGACACGCCCACTTTTCTGACTTTTTCCAAAGTAGAGGTGTGAAAACACCCTGCTGAAACGAGGGGGTTTCAAGGCCTTTTAAGATATCTGTAAGCCAGTGTGTTCCAAAACAGTGACAAAATTCGCATTAAGAAGATAGAAAATAGATATAAACATGTAAAGCTTGTAGTTTGTCTCTTCCGCCTAAAGAGATCAACTGTATTTTTCACGTCATCTCATACTTCAGTTTCTCATCAAATCTTCTGACCAATCAAATTCTCTATAGTATCGGACATGCTCCGCCCCCTTCAAGATGCTTCCCATTTGATGCTCTTGAGCTCAACCACTCTCACTGGCAGAGCGGTGATAAAGAAAAACACTATTGGCTGGGTAGGAGCTACACTATGTCCCAACCTCTCTTCATATTTCGGTTGAGATTACTTCAAACATTGAATAAAAACGCACATTTAAAAGCACTTCATGGGGACACATGCCACACGTGTTGTATTTTGGAGTGTGTCAGACTGACCTGTTCTTCTGGATTGTGCTCTGACTCCTGGTCTCTGTTCTCTTCCTTGGCTACTGAAGGCTCCTCTGTCAACTCCAGCTCCTCAGTCACTTCCAACTCCTCGTCTTCTTCCTTCCCCTTCTCTTCCTCCTCCTCCCCCACCTAAACACATGCGGAGATTCAATATATTATAAACACGAACATACTGAAAAATAATGCTGGGTTTCACAAAATTCCTTCATGGCCCAATTTAAATCGATTAAGATAACTTAGTTTTTTTTTTGTTTTTTGTTTTTACAAATTTAAGTGGATTGAATATAAAACAATTAAGTTGTCACTCAAGTTCATTTTAATGGTGAGCGACGAGCAACCGCTCATTTCAATGGAGAGCGACCATTTATTTTAACAGAGAGCGACGAGCGATCAGTCATTTTAACGAAGAGCGACGAGCGATCGTTCATTTTAATGAGAGCAACGAGCAACTGATCATTTTAACAGAGAGCGAAGAGCGACCATTCATTTAACCAGATAGCGATCGTTCATTTCAACGGAGAGCGACGAGCGACCCTTCATTTCATCGGAGAGCGACCATTTATTTTAACAGAGAGCGACGAGCGATCAGTCATTTTAACGAAGAGCGACGAGCGATCGTTCATTTTAATGAGAGCAACGAGCAACTGATCATTTTAACAGAGAGCGAAGAGCGACCGTTCATTTAACCAGAGAGCGATCGTTCATTTCAACGGAGAGCGACGAGCGACTGTTCATTTCATCGGAGAGCGACCATTTATTTTAACAGAGAGCGTCAAGCAACTGATCATTTTAAAGGAGAGCAACGAACGACCGTTCATTTCATCGGAGAGCGACCGTTTATTTTAACAAAGAGCGACGAGCAACTATTCATTTTAAAGGAGAGCAATGAGGGGCCGTTCATTTTACCAGAGAGCAATGAGCGACCATTCATTTCAACAGAGAGCGACTGTTCATTACAACAGAGAGCAACCGTCATTTCAATGGAGAGCAACAAGCGATTATACATTTTAACGCAGAGCGATGAGCGTTTATTCATTTTAATGGAGCGATAAGCGACCGTTCATTTTAAAGGAGAGTGACCATTCATTTTAACATGTGCAACGAGCGACCGTTTACTTCAATGGAGAGCGACTGTTTATTTTAACGGAGAGCAATGAGCGACCGTTCATTTCAACAGAAAGCGACGAGCGACCGTTCATTTCAACAGAGCGACAAGCGACCGTTCATTTCAAAAGAGAGTGACAGTTCATTTCAACGTAGAGCGACTATTCAATTTAACAGAGAGCGTCCGTTCAATTCAACGGAGAGCGACGAGCGACCATTCATTTCAACGAAGAGTGACTTCCGGCAACCTTTATCTACGCAATCGACAGCGACAGTTGCCGACAAAGTAGGCATGTCGAGTGACGCAACAAAGTTCAGAATCTTTGAACTTTATGTAATGAAGAGCGACGTTCTTGAGCGACAGCCAATAGGAGCACCAGTAAAGCTCCCGTGATCCTCTCTCAGCTCCAGCATAGACCAGTTGTATTCTCTGTGCTGTAGACCTACACAGACCTGTGTTTGATAAATAACCGCGATGATATAGAACACACCTTCATCTTGATCATCTTTGTAAATCAGCAATTTACACTGTACACTGAGTGCATGTATATTTAGTGTTTTCTCTGAACAATGTTTACTTTCAGCGGCATGTAAACTGATTCGCTCTCTGTGAATATCACTGTAAACGTTAACTAAGCGACCCCTGTTTTCAATCGCCACCCAGAGCGACAGACACCTACAAAGTTGCAGCTAGTGTGAATGAGGCATTAAAATCGGTTCACAATGACCAGATAGTCACAAACAGGAACATAAGTATTGGTAGTGGTCAATAAAGATAGATCATAGAGCAAAAAATGTTGTCTAGTTATAATAAAGATAAGGCATTCCAATAGTATATGTTTTTTAAATACCTGTTAAAGTAACCTTATTCATAGCTTACATACTTTCATAACTTTTCACACCTTAATAAAAGCTTCAACAATTAATTGCAACTGAATTCTGAACTGAAGTCTACCTCCATCTTTTCCTGCTCTTCCTGCACTTCCTCCCCCTCTTCCTGCTTGTCTTCTTCCTCTACCTTCTCCTCTTCCTCCTCAGTCTTGACCACACTGCCGTCAGTTCCCTCCTCCAGCTGAATTCCCTCCTCTTGACTCTGCTCTGGGGTTTTTATTGTCTTGGTTTCTTTCTCAGAGGATTCCTGGTTGGTGTCGTCAGCTTTGTCCTTGACGCTGGACTCCTCCTTTTGTCTGCTGTGTTTGCCCGAGTCAGATTTTCTGGGTGTGAGCTCGCCTGGCATTTCTCTGGATAAATTGAAAGAGGTATTTAAAATATAGTTCAGGTTGAGCTCTATCAACATAGAGCCTACGTGATTCATCATGAACATTTTTTCTATATGTGAAAACAGTCATAAGGCCCGATCCCAATTCTACCCCTTAGCCCTTCCCCTTACCCCTACCCCTCGTTTTGCGCATTCACGTCAAGGGGTAGAGCTGTCCCAATTCACTTTAACTTGAAGGCGTAGGGCTAAGGGGAAGGGGTAGATACGCCTTTGAACAAGGATTTTTCAAGACCACACTCAAAACCAAGGGGTAAGAAAATTTCCCAGAATACACCAGCCACAACGGCAGTATTGCTGAACCCGGAAGTAGGGAGATGCACATAATCGTATTTTCGTCGTTATTACAAATTTTTACAACAAACAAATAAAAAACTAAATTTCGCGATCTATAATCTATAATCACAACTCCTGTATAGCAGTCCAACAACATTCTGATACTCGATTTCTTGTTACGGTGGGTATATCCCTTATTTTTACATGCTTTTGTGTTTGTGATAAATATTGTATGATTTTTTTTAGCATAAAACTTTTTTGTATGCTTTTGTGTTTGTGATATTGAAAAGAATAAAAATAATAGATCGTTATATAAATGC